GGTTAGAATAGAAATTAAGTGTTAGTTGGTGCGATGTGCAGCGCGGCGCGCGCTCTTATCACAACAGTAGTAGTGATGAACCAGTTGTATAAGTAGTTATATGAGATGAGGATATTTAAGGAAAATAAAGAGACTGTGTATAACGACTGCAAGTTTGAATGGAGCTTATCCTATATAAATCTATGTGGAGATATACGCCTAGGGATCGACAATGGAGTATTACAAGGACACTAATAAGCCACCTACAATACCTCATGTCTTTAAAATAGAATATATTATTGGTGGGGTTAATGATACGTCAATGAGCCCACATACAATGAAATACAATGCCCCAGAACTTGTGGATATTCGCAATTGTGTCAGTTCGTTTATTTACAGCCTACATAACAAGAGAAAACTCATGGAATAGATAAACTTATTATGTATTCAGTCACATTATCAGCAATGAAAATAAGAATTCTAGCTAATGTTACATATTTAGCGGCATTAATTGAAAGTGTACTACGGGCAATAATTGCTAATGTGAAATGATCTTTGTAAGTCAAAACTAATGTATAAACCGGAATAGAGTAATCTTCTTGAAATATTTATGCATATGGCAGCTGTCCCTGCACTTGGACTGATAGCATAATGAAAATACCGAAATAATTGGATGTAACTGTAGCACAGAACACCACATGTTTACTAAAACTTTTATATTGTTTCACAATACCATTGTACTTCACTTTTCCACAGATGTACTCAACTGTCAAAGCTACGGCCAATATAGTTTAAACCACTGTTATGTTCACTACTACATTCAAATTTACTCAATTCTATTTCCCATTTTCACAATCCCTTCTAGCTTTTAACTTGAATTGTCCACCATACATCAGCAGATAAGAGACAAGTGCAAGCACAATGAACCTCTTTCCATATCATAATTAACCTCGTCCAGACCAGCTTCCCTCGTATGAAACTTACACTTTGGAAGAGCACGCTCGCTGCCCCACACTCTTAGTGTGTTAATGCCTGAAAGTGAAAGTAATGGTGTAAGTAGAAGTGAAAGTGAAAGTGAAAGTGTATAAGTAGGAGATTTCTGCGCAGAGTAAAGTGAAAGTCAACTGGAGATTCTCTCACTCAGAGAAATACCTCCGTCGAGTACACACCCCATAGGAGATGCGTGATGATAACAATCTAAAATTCAATGCTACAATACAAATGAGAGCATTGTACACAATTTATCTAAAAATGGCTGACAAATAATAATTCTTAAAACGTTATAAAAGATGACGATGCAATGCTAATTTTCTCATATCGCTATCATGTCCAGTAACCGCCCCGAAAATTGTGTCACTGTTGAAAGATAAGCAGTTTTATCAATCAGAAATTAACCAATTTATGATGAAAAATTTGATAAGTGATAACAAACATTTTCAGCTCTTGGTACTCTTGAAGGCATAGAAATCTTTTAGGGGTAGTCACTGTTTTACGACACTAATAACAATCAGCGAGGCGGCACATTTTAGTCTCAATTAGAAGGTAAACAGTATAATAAGTGAGTAAAAAGGCGGAAAAATAAAAGGTCGGCAATACTTTCCGGAAAACTTAAGGTCGATAAAAAATACCTACTACAAAAGAGGTACGCAAATATGTGACACATTAGATCAAGAATAAACAACGACATACCTCATACACGCACAAACTCAAAGAGAGCGTTGAACGTTTAATCGAGGGTGCATTCTCCAACACAGACAGCTGAACCTGTGTTAGCACCCTTTAAAGGAAGACCAGTCTCAAATCACTACGAAACTCAAACTTATTCTGTCCCTCATCAATGATTAATAGACGATATGAATTTGTGATTAACACGTTGAGACTAACACCCGAATATCTTGAGCGTACTGAGACACTGTGATGCAGTACATATCTGCATGTAAGTTCTTACATTGATTAGTGGTACCTAGGATTTTTGTGGAACCACAACCTCCACCCACTTACATTGACAACATTTCAATGAAGACGATCACTACTTTCCTATATGACGTCACTACTGTCCGTTATTAATTATTGACTGACTAAATTGTCTCACAGCTCTGAGACGCAGATGAGAGTACCAAATGTATTGTCTAAGCAAACCACACGGTAGATATTTTACAAGATTTAGTACGCACCGGAATTACATCGTACCCGACCAGCCGAGACAACACTCCTAAATCCTCTCCTAATGCTTGGGTTCACTACTCTCGTGCCTATAGCCCAACCTACTCAACAAATAGACCTGATTATATATCACAGTCACTGTTCCAGAGATCCACAAGTGCGCAGAGCGTGGCAGTTCCCCCATTCCCAACTAATTAGTCTGATAATTCCTGATAGAAAGTTATCGGTATTTTTCACCTCGCTGGACTGCAGGGTATTGCACAGGCGGTACAAGATGCGTGTACATCTGAAAAGTGAAATAAATGAAACTGACAGTGAAAGTGCGTAAGCGAGCGGACCAAGTAATTACGAGTAGAAACATATGTAACCAGAGTTTGAAAAAGTTTGCGTTATTTTGCAAGTTTAATAGTCTTTATAGTAGAATTCGTTGGATAAAATGTCCTCATAATTGTACACTTCAATCGCATTGTTTTTATTCAACTCGTCCGTAGCATTTGTATACGTTTTTTACTAGTGACGAGTTATGTATTCGTGATAAATAACAAATTGTAGAGATCGAGATGAAATTAGGCTTATACTAAATTCGTTGAAATAAAATGTCTCAATAATTGTACACTTCAATCGCATTGTTTTATTCAACTCGTCCGTAGCATTTGTAAACGTTTTTACTAGTTCCGAGTTATGTAATCGTGACAAAAAACAAATGAATAATATACATCTCGGATTTTTAGATCATTCTCACCTGGATGGGAAGCGATTAGAATAGGGGAGAATTCTCTCTGCTAATCGTGAGTCACGATCTGAGACACAAATTTTTGAACGATTGCACAGCCTCGTTTTTAGCGCAGCCGAGAGGTGCTTTAATAGTTCTCTTGAAAATATGTGCCATAAGCTTAGCACCAACAATCGATAAATAATGACAACTAACATATCTATGTATAACTACAATAGAGAGGGCGGGCAGGCTCGCAGTTTCCTCACGGTACGATAATAAATAATGATTATTAGTAATATAAAAACTAATAATCAGGGAATTCCCCAGAAAACACACCCTTACTTGATCTTGTCTTTGCTTCTGCTATTCCTGGCTGGATTACAACACTGATCTGCAAGTCGCCCCTCAGGATCTTTAACTTCGTCTAATTTTATAACAAGTCTTCTAAACTGATGGGGGACGGTTAGGTATAGTGAAAACCTATTGAATCGGAGAAATTATAACTACATACAATTAAAATGATAAAGAAAGTGAAAGTGAAACATTTAACATACCTGATTGTAGTGTGATTTGAAGAGATGAGCCTTGTTGATATCGATATCAGCAGCAGTATCAATGCCATGAAACACGACTACACCCCGCCCCTGCACCACCCCTTGCAAACATACCACCTTACTGTAAACCCAGGTTAACCTAGCAAGGGGTCTGAACCTCACATCATTGTCCTTAGCAAGTGGGTCAGATACAACCCCCGCTGCATGCAGATCAGATAAAACATATCCCGGAACAGTTCCGTTTACCTGGAGGCGGTTATTAAGCTTAACTTGTGCTCGGTGGTGAGGGTTCAGCAGGTTCAGTATATCTGATAGCTGGTCTGGTGGGATGTCAGACTGGACTAGCCAGTCACTTCCTGAGAGATCAACTTCCAGGGAGGTGGTGAGGTGGTGGAGTGAGGCTAGGTAAACTGAGGTAAGCAGACAAAACATTGCTTCAGTCAACAGACCTGTTTTAGGTAAGCAACATACTGTAAATGATACGTCTTAGACATTAGATACTGGTTTTTTGTGTTAATCACACTTTTTAGATAAAATGTGTACTATGAAATTTGAAATATGATCCACGCAAAATGACGCGTTATCGTTTATATGACCCTCGTACTGCGAGAGTAATGATTTGCTGTATCCCGCGCTTTTGTAGGGTGTTGACACTAAAATTAGAACTTACCAAAGTATTATCCTGTTACCCTATAGTCCCTACTATCCCACCAAGTAATATCTTTACGATCTTAGCTGACTCCTCAGCTAGCAGCACACTCGACACTTGTCTTATGACAGATCTGTAACCAACACGCTGATATTAATAACAGACGTGCTGTGACGTTAAGAACTGTACATGACGTCATAGTCCCCGAAAAAATTACGTCCAATCACATACAATGACGTCATTTCCTATATAATGACGTCATTTCACATATAATGACATCACACCATGTGCCACGACTTCAGACCAGGTGGTATATGAGGGAACCGGACAGTACTTTCGTATTGGTACTAATGTTCATGCTGTGGCTGACGCAAGGAAAAGAGGGGTCAACTTCAAGTCCTTGTTAAAATAACGGGGGCGGCGGTCCTGATAAGATTCTCTGCTCGCTCTCTGCCCAATGATTCCTAATCATATAATTACCCACTCGCAGGCCTAGTACCCACTACAGACAAGCCCCAGTTTAGCTGGAAGTCTCGTTTCCCTGGCCGGGGATTAAACCTCCTCTTTAGCCCTGCTCACCTGACTAATACCCCAAGCAATCACTCGCTTATTATGAGCGGGGTATTACGCGAGCTTTCAGTTCCGTCAGCCCGCGTCCTTTGTCGTTAAAATAATTATAGCTGGTCGCCGTAATTACATTTGCTGTAGTCGTTCGTCCTCTGCCGATCAATGTCCTGCAGCCGTGTCCTTCGTCCACCGCTCCCATTCGCGCTCACAGTCTCTCATGGGGGTTGCCTTGGTAACACGTGATCCATCACGTGAGCAAATGTTAAGACAATGCGGCAATCACGCTGCTGCTGCGTGGGCCGTACAATAGGGCGGCTCATGAGTTGTGGTCAAGGACCTGTTTTTAGCTGCTCGGAGGCTATATACCAAACACACTGCCCTGTTGCTAGAGCTGCTTATTAAAAAAACCTTTTTTACGACATCGGTCACGGAGCTGGCGAGACGATAAATCCTTGCGTCTATTATCCGTGCTGCCGTCTGATCTTGTATTGCCAGTTATTAAGTGTTCTTCTTGTTTTGTTATATGGAGAGCTTGACCATCAATCCCGTCTCCTCTGTTGAGAGTATCATTGTGTCTGAGGCTGCGGCTATTCTCGAGAATGGTAAGATTTATTTTATGTTGTGTATAGAGGATATAATACAGTCCGACGTGTGAAGGTGCTAATATTGGTGTAGTCAGGGTGTGAAGTATTAGTGGTACTTGTTAACAGTACAGATACTTAACATCGAGATACTGATAGCCATGGTACTCATAGTAATGATTGTCTGTGTCAATAGTCATGCATAGGCTATCAGAACCATGTGCCCATGGCTACCAGTACCATAACATACAAACAGAACTTACAGTTACCTCGAAGCCGTGGTACCATGGTAAGGTGCTGGTAGTCATGGTGCTGGTTACCATGGTACTGAACTGGTACTATACTTTTGCCAATGAGGAGGGCAGGTGGTAACCGAAGCCATTGCATAAATTCAGGTACTGACAGGTGAAGTCCACCTGCCAGTGTACCTGATCATAAGACGAGGGGCCCCCCCAAGATTTTATGGTACACAGAAGACATGGATAGAGGTTAGGTCATGGGTACTTGGTTGCTGGGAACTGTCGTGACCGCCATCCATAGTACTCTGACACATTGTGTATCACAGCTCTTTGTTGATTACATGAATGATAGCGCGACAAGGACCTTATGATAGGTAGAACTACTGTTTAATTTTCTGTGGTAGTAAATTATACTGTCTCAATGTTGTAGGGGGGGGGAGGAAGCCGTTTATAATAAACGTTTTTTTGTGCCTAATTTTGTGTATATGCCAGCCAGCAAAAGACGGAGATTGGAAACACCTACTTCAACTGTAGAGAGCATTGTCGAAGTTGTCATGGAGACCCCTATTACCATGGCAACCACCACATCAGGTGGGGCTAGTGTAGAGGAAGTAAAGGTTATGTTCTAGTCCCAATACATGGTCATGGCAAACGGAAGTCAGACCCGAACTTCGCCGCAAACTCATCAGAATCAACTGAACCAACAACAGAACCAACAACAAATGCAGCAACAGAACCAACAGAACCAACAGCAGAATCAGCAGCAAAACCAGCAGCAAAACCAGCAGCAAAACCAGCAGCAAAACCATGCACCAGAAGCAGATCTGTTAAATACCGTTTTCTACAACATGCAAAACATAAACAGATTCGGCCCCAAATTACTGCCCTGTCACAGGTTGTGTCTTGTACCCAGGAGGCAGTGAAAATACTCCGGGAGAGTCAGGTAACTTTCACTTCTTGTTTCACTTTAACTTCTTGTTTCGCTTTCATACCCAGTTTCTGTTTCAATTTCCCTTTCAATTTACTTTTACCCGACAACTCGGCTGTTTAACAACGAACAGTGCTCTGCTATCGTCATCAACCATAGGTAGTCTGTCGATCGTCGATCGATCTGCTTGATAATCTAATGGGACACTATCATTTGTATCATACTCAGCCAGAATCGAGCACCTTTTGGTTGAGGATCGTATACCGCGGTTTGTATCGTGTCTGAAACTGCGTCTAATTCTCATTTCTCGATGTGCTTAGCTCACACTGATTATGATCCTTGATAATTTATGGTGGAATGCAGTTAGTTGGAACGCGCGTTGTTAACGACACTTCACTTTCACTTTCAGGAGAGATCATTAGATCTGGAGCATAAAGAGGTTCCGGTTCCAGTTGGAGGCTGAAGAGAAGCGCCTTATGATGGAAAGCGAACACTATCGCAAGATGAACCCTGTTTTCCGGACAACAATAACAGGTGAATAATCTTAATTTTAAATTGTATCTTCACTCCATGTTCACTTCCATCTGAAGCATAACAAAACAATCTGGGGGACCCCCCACTCCCCTCCTCCTCCTCACTCCTCCTCCTCCTCCCCCTCCCACCTCCTCCTCCTCCACCTCTCCTCCTTCTCCTCCACCTCCACCTCCTCCTCCCTCCACCCTCCTCCTCCTCCTCCTCCTCCTCCTCCTCCTCCACCTCACACCACCTCCTCGCACCCTCCACCTCCTCCACGCACCACCTCCTCCTCCTCCTCCTCCTCCTCCCACCTCCCCTCCTCCCCTCCTCCACCTCCCTCCACCCCCTCCTCCTCCTCCTCCTCCTCCAACCCTTCCCCCCACCACCTCCTCCTCCACCTCCTCCTCCTCCTCCTCCTCCTCCACCTCCTCCTCCTCCTCCACCTCCACCTCCTCCTCCTCCTCCACCTCCTCCTCCTCCTCCTCCACATCCTCCCCTCCACTCCACCTCCTCCTCCTCCTCCCTCCTCCTCCCTCCTCCCCTCATCCTCCTCCTCCTCCTCCTCCTCCTCCTCCACCCCCTCCTCCCACCTCCTCCTCCTCCACCACCACTCTCCTCCTCCTCCGACCGACCTCCTCCTCCTCCTCCACTCTTCCGCTCCTCCCCTCCGTGCTCCGACCTCTCCTCCTCCTCCTCCACACCACCACTCCTCCTGCCACCACTCCTCCTCCTCCCTCCTCCTCCTCCTCCTCCTCCTCCTCCTCCTCCTCCTCCCTCCTCCTCCTCCTCCTCCTCCTCCACCTCCTCCTCCTCCTCCTCCTCCACCACCCCCTCCTCCTCCCCTCCTCCTCCTCCTCCTCCTCCTCCTCCTCTCCATCCTCCTCCTCCTCCTCCTCCCCTACTCCTCCTCCTCCTCCTCCTCCTCCTCCTCCTCCCTTCCTCCAGCCTCCTCCTGCGCTCCAAGCTCCTCGTCCTCCCTCCTCCTCCTCCTCCTCCTCCTCCTCCTAGCTCCTCATCCTCATCCTCATCCTCCTAGCTCCTAGCTCCTAGCACCTCCATCCTCCCTCCACCTCCTCCTCCGTCCTCTCCTCCTCCTCCTCCTCCTAGCTCATAGCTTTCCTCCTCCCCTCCTCCTCCTCCTCCTCCTCCTCCAACTCCTCCTAAGCTCCTCCCCTTCCCTCACTCCTCCTACTCCACGTCTCCTCGTCCTCCTAGCTCCTCGTCCTCCTTTTCCTAGCTCCTCGACCTCCTACTACCTCGTCCTCCTCATCCTCCTCCTCCTCATCCTCCTCATCCTCCTTGCTCCTTAAGCTTGACCTCCTACTCCTCCTCCTCCTCCTCCTAGCTCCTAGCTCCTCCCTCTCCTCCTCCGATCCTCCTCCTAGCTCCTACTCTTTCTCCTCCTCCTCCTCCTCCTCCTCCGAGCTCTCATCCTCCTCCTCCTAGCTACTCCTCCTCCTCCTCTCCTCCTCCTACTCCTCCTTACCCCTCCACATCTCCTCCTCCAGCTCCTCCTCCTCCCCTCCTAAGCTCCTCGTCCTCCTCGTCCCCCTCCTCCTCCAAGCTCCTCCCTCTCCCTCCTCCTCGTCCTCCTCCGTCTCCTCCTTCCTCCACCTCCTCCTCCTCCTCCTCGTCCTCTCCTCCACCTCCTCCTCAATCCTCCTAGACTCCTCCTCTCCTCCTCACAAGCGCCTTCGTTTTATCCTCAGGCTCTCTTGAATGTCGTTAGTCCACCTCACGCTCGCAGAGCGGGCATTCCCCTGGTCTCTACCTAACCTCTACTAAAGATATAGGTGCCATAATTCATCTCATTATTATTAAATATATATCCTTAGTTTGTAAATATATATTAATTGTAAAGAGTCCTCCCGGAGTACAAGGTTATGTGTCACTTAGGCTAATGGTCGGATCCTGAGCTTCGCTTAGTCAAGCTGATGGGTCAGATAAGGCGAGGATTAGATTTAGGTATTAGTTCACCTACAAGGGAGTCGCCTAAATTTTTCATTATTGCTAAATTGTGGTGTATCACTTCATTGTATATATGACCAGAAAAAAATACGCAATATGTGCGGGCAACAATGGTCCGGACGAAAAGGAAAGCGCTATTGATTAAACACAATTAGTTGAACGGGTCAGGCAGCCGTGTAAGGAAACATGAACAAATGAGGACGGGTAAAGGTCGTTATACCAATGATATTGAAAACGTGATCTCGAGAAAAATGACAAGTTCAAACAGTGAAGGTTGACCAACATGGGTTTAAAACCACGTCCCATCCATATACCTCAAAGCCTTCAAGCACACACACCCCACCACACACACACACACAGACACACACACACACACACACACACACACACACACACACACACACCACACACACACACACACACACACACACCCACACACACCACACACACACACACATACACAAGTACTGACAAACGAACCACGTACATTACTGCATAATTAGCGTACATAAACCTACACATATACATTATACATATACAATTATAAACAAACAAATATACATTTATACACACACACAACAATATTTTCTGTTCATCTCTTTTGATCACACAGTCTGAACGGTTGACTGTTTACAGGCTATATCCCAGACCCCTACTCCTGCAACTCCTGCCACCGAGACACCCACTGAGATCCGAGTGTCTCCTACTACTGTCAAACTGGAGGTGGACAGCTGAGTGATACCACAATAACGAGTGCTACCAAGCAGCAATCACCTGTAATAGCAACGAGTGCTACCAGAACAACGAGTGCTACCATAGCAACGAGTGTGCTATAGCAACGAATTCTACCACAGCAACGAGTGGTGCCATGCAACTGCAACAAGTGCTGAAGCGATGAATCATATCAGAACATCACATTTAATTTAAGGGCAACGAGCATACTTTGCCTTTGCAAACTCTGTACTGGTACCATTTGGGTTAAATTAAGGGATCGTTCACGAATTACAGAAGCCATATTTCGGCCATTTTAACACCTTTAAACATATCTATATTGCATAGAAAATACACTTGCACTTCCAAACCTCCTCCTCGCTACGTATTATTTGGTCAATCCCTTATTGGGTTAAGTCAATTTCTTGAAAAATAATCGGGCATTTTTCGGTTTCGACATTAGATCTTAAAGCTAAGAAGGATTTTGAAGCACCTGGTACTACTACTACTACAGAGCTTTTGAGTTAATTTTGGAAATGCTGAACGGTATGAACACTATATCTGAGTTCATATTGTACTTTTAGTTTATACCAGGCACACATACACCGTCTTAATAATTATAAAGCTTTTGTTTTAAAAAGCCACGTGTTTGCGATAATTATATGTGAAGAGCAGGAGGGGAGGTAAACACTGGGGAGCTAAAAGTAAAATCATATTTTTAAAGTCTACGGACGTGTATGATTTTCACAATGCATGAATGTAAGATAACTTTATTCGGGAGCTATATCTCAGTATATCCTAAGCAGCTTAGGAGTAGCGACTGTGTAAATATTTGTGGAATATTTCTTTGAGATAAATCTTCGCTCTGGTCAGCTTGATTATATCAGAAGTAAGAGTGCTGAGAGAGTTTAATAATAGGTGGATATAGATGGCGGTGGAGTGGGGGCGTTGTGGGCAGCTTATTTTAGCAATGGGGGGTATAGTGTGTTTTAAAAGCTGATGATGGTTGCTCGTTTTGCTTGGTAGTAAAGTCACGTGATTAGAACATAGCTTTCCTGATATAGTGTTAAATGACAAAGATTGACGGTAATTTACTTCATTTATTCGTCAGCTCACCAGAATCTTGTTTTCTATCATAGAGCCTCGTATAATCAATATTTGGTACTACTCTGTGTGATCGAGGCACGGAGGGGGGTGTGGGGGTGGCAAAGTTAACACGTACGCGAAAACACACGCAGCTATCTGATTGTAACTTATTTCCTGGAGAGGATATTTGTTAATTTTAAACTTTACTTTCTTATTTGTTTGCAATTAATTTCAGATTTAATGTTGAGCGTTTCTGCTCCCTTCGCATATGAGCTGTGTTTTACTTGGTGTATTTTAAAAAGGGAGGGCTCTAAAAGCCAAACCGTCATGCAAATGACACCGTTATTTTTATGAAGCATCTAAGATGGCATTCTTTAAAGTGGCGTACTTACATATTCTTCTTTTTTCTCCGAAATGATGACCAGGTCCCCGAGAATTAACTGTTAGCATCCAGGTCGCTATGACCCGACCCACCACCACACCACCACCTTCTTCTAGAAGATTCCTGAGACGTGTTGATCACGATCAAACGCATTATACTCTACTCACATTCTTACTCACATTCTTACTTCACAATACACCCTGGACCTTGGTCGATTGGCGTCAATCTTTTGTAAAATGGACCGCATATGTAATTCTCCCAAGACCCACACAGCAAAGGAAGAATAATCCCTAACCGGGGGGCAGCCACTCCTTAGGTACCGGGTTATTGGTCACCAAAACAACTCTTCGCAGGGTTACCATGGCATTGGTAACCCCTCCCTTTATATCAATAGTGACAAGTTTTTGTCGGATATTCAGGTTGCCAACGTAACGTTAGTAAGATACTGGTAACCATGGCAAATGTTCATTCTTCGAGATGTTATCCACAGTCACTGTTTTTGTTGTAAATCCCTTCAGTTGAACTAACCCCTCCTTTACAATCAAAGGAATGTTCGACAGATCATATGCCTAGGTTCACCAGTAGGCATCATCAAGTTGGCTCATCAGTCGACTCATGTGTTGTGTCATAAGTACTGAAGGGGGTCACAAGTATACATCAGCATATTTTGGCGGCAATTTTTAAGCGACCGCCAGCTGCACAGTCATACTGATATGTTAGCAAAATAACGTTGGGTTTTGAAATCGAATCGATGGCATCCTTTGATTCAAAAGGGTACTATTATCTATTAATTTTAAACAGAGTTGGGGCTTTGCTACTGCTAATGTGCATCATAGTGTTGGTCAATGATCTAGAATTCGGCAGAAACCTGGATTTATGTTTAAATCCTTGTGAGAGTATCCTCCTAATATTATTTCGTGTACTTACCGTATTATACTGGAGTATAAATTCCTGCACACAGATCTTCAACCCTAAATCCTGCAACCCGTAATGATTCTTAGCTTGGAGTCACTAGTAACCACTAATGACGTTGTAAAATGTTGGCTTGCAGCTCAATGATCTATATAGCTGCATTCTGCAATATACATGTTGGAGATTGAAGAAAACACTGAAAACAAATGACTAGAATAGAAGCCGGGAAACGTTTGGGTTGTTTCTCAAACAAATGCTACATACACACTGTCTACAATGCAACTGCCGCCCATGGGGGGTGATGTAAAATCTCCGTTTAAAAATTGAACTCCAACAATCGCCAGACTCGAATTGAAAAGCAACACATAATTAGAACTCCAATCGAACATACCCAATGCAAATGAACAGAACCCGTACCTACCTGAACATAACCTGAGCCGTACCTGAACCGTAACGAACCGTACGAACCGTACCAGAACCGTACCGAACCGTAACGAAACCGTACCGAACTGAAACCGATCCGCACATAAACCGAACCGAACCGTACCGAACCGTACCGAACTGAACCGATCCGTACCGAACCGTACCGAACCGTACCGAACTGAACTGAACCGAGCCGTACCGAACCGTATCGAACCGTACCGAACCGTACCGAACCGTACCGAACTGAACCGATCCGTACCGAACCGTACCGAACCGTACCGACCTTAACTGAACTGAACCAAACTTGGTCCGGCCTCGTAATTATACAGTACTCAGTTTTTAACTCAGATTAAATTAAGGGGATGATTTGTTGCACAAAAAGGTGTCCGATCAATAGTAGACTTTGTATTAGTACTTCAGGAGCGTGACATAGTGCTGTGTTGTTAAATGTTATTTCTTTGGTTTCTACGAGGCTTATGGTTACTTAATACTTACTCATCAATTACCTTGGTTCAACGTAAATTGAGTTTATGGTTTCAGGTTTAGATTTAAGGAATCCATATAATTTGGGAACGTATTGGCACACCACTTCATATACCGGTGGTGTTGAACTGAGGAGTTGCACTTATAAAGTTATAAAGATAGACACTACAGTCAGAGATCTCAGTATAGAAGTAAGATTGATTGTCGTTGTGTCTGAGTTGGGATAGAATGGGGGTCACGGTAACACCTAACTATAGTTTAGAATTCGGTCCGTGAGAAGTTGTGATTCATAGACTTTGTGGAGAAACTTGGAGAAGCTTTAACAACTTAGATGTTAGTGTCACTGCTGAAATTGCTTGCGTATATAAGTGCACTGCTGCAGATATGGAGGTGATGTTCAAGTTGCTTGCAGAGTTTATTCACAAGTGATTCGGCTTTAAAGCTGTCGGTATTGCTCTTTTTGGCTAACAATGTGCTTACTGTTAATTATTAATTATTGATATTAGAATTTACATGAATATTATCTGCAGAAACTTAAAGAGTAGCTAAAAACCTAGTTGTTTGTCAGCTCACGAGTTGAGAGCGGGGGGTCATGTGACTGGTCACCATGGTGATGGTTAACAGAGCCCAACACGTGACAAGTGGCTTGTGTAGTGCGTGGGTATAGTAATTGTTAGGCGCGGTCCTTAGTCTGGCCTACACGTATAAAGATAGAGAGCTGGGGGGAGATGACAATGTAGCGTAGTGTCACAAGACCACGTGATAGGACCTGCCCACGTTACTTGACTTGTCATAGTTCAGCGCATAAATCCAGTGCCTAGAAATCTTCTTGCAACAAATGGTCACTTTAACTTTAATACTTGCCATCAAACGGATTTGTGAACTTTAACCGCCGAATGACCTTAAACTTTTGTTTTATTCACTGTAGATAATATGTGTGTGGCTAAAGACACATCGTTTGTCTTAGGCTAATTAATACTAGTGGTTCGCATTGGCTTTCTAATCACTATTTATATGATATTCTGATATCTACCAACAACGAGATAAAGACTACTAGTACTACAAATGCATGTACACACATTCCCAAAAACTGCTCTTTTCTGAACAATTCATACACACCGGCCGGCGGAAAGCGTCAGCCAAAATGATTAAAATTTAAAATTGTTCACATTTCATTAAAGAATAGAATAAAAATCTAAGGAATATGATATTGTCTGAAATTGTAAGCTAGAAACCTCCACCAACTCAGGCAAATCATTATGTTTGTTGTCTTATCCTGCACTGTCCTCTAATTTATTTCAACTTCACCTCCGGTTTATTTGAACCTGATATAAGGTTTGGTCTCCTGGTAACACGCGATGCTGTCGATAGCATCCTGCGTGGCTTCCACGTCACACTTCATGTACACATCCCATCCTCTCAATCCACACGCCTCCATTTGACCCAGAGTTAAAGCGTACGCTCTGCTACCGTGCATCGGGGAAATAGAGGAGCTTAGGCTTGCGAAGGGTTCCTGAGTCCTCCCCTCAGCAGGGACATGTAGCAGAAGTCGTGGAGACACGAGTCGAATAGAACAGAGGCAACCTTGGCTGGAGCATCGGTTGGAAGCCCGCGTTTTCAACTTATAGCCTGAACAGGCATTCGAGAGGCCACCCTACTCTTGCCGTAGTCAGTCCCACAGGGCTCGTCAGGGTCAAAGTCCACTTGAGCGGGGAGGACACAGGTCTTCTTCCCTGTCCACCTTCCAGTTGTTCACGTACTCGTTAGACTTTAGACTGTTGATGAGCCTGTCTTCAAGCTTGGTGTACTGCTGGTGCTCGTTACCTTTCTCTCGGTCGGTTGTTACCACACACCCCGCACAGTGGATCCACCCTGCTCTCGTCCATCCCTATGGCGAGGGAGGTGAAGCCATCATACGCCAAACTCAGTCCCATCTCCTCGTTCCTCCCACTCAGGACCATTCCGTCAAAAGTCCAACTGAGACCACCCACCTCAAAGTTTGTGCCCTGAATGTACTTGAACTTTTCATCGTCAGCGAAGATTACCCAGCCTCGGCTCAGGGTGAAAGGTTTGTGGTTGATGAAGACGGTGACTTCGTCCAAACATGTTCCTATCCACAATACGAGAAAAGTCCGTAAATTATCCACTTGAACGCCTTACAGTCCCATCCCAACACATAGCGATCACGTCACCTGAAAATATCATTAAATGATTAATACATAAGTATCCAAACAAATTAATACATAATATATGTAATATAGCAATACTACCTGAGATCAATCTCCCGAAATCACACGAGAGAAACTAAAAATATGATATTCTTGTGTGGAACTGAAGCAATCTTATAATCCTGTCCATGGTGTGACAACTAAAAGATAGGCTCGGTGATTCGCAATGTGGGTTGTCATGCTTGCTAAAACGTTTAAGACAGGACCTCTAAAGTATCATTAGCGTTCATAAACAGACTTTAAAGTTCGTTAAAATCCTCTTAACGTTGATGTCGGGATATTTCTGTCGTGACCACTGGAATTTTACCGTTTGTTTTCCTAATTGTAAAATGTCAGAACGCAAGCATCCGTTCTGCTCCAAATAAGCAAAGGATTACGCAGCAAAGTCCAGTAGTACCACATTAGCACCACATACCTGTGGTTTTATTTGAACCTCAAAATACTTAGTGATCGCCATTTGACATTTCGCCTACTCCAAAATGATCAGATTCATGACCATATTCAGCAACCTGGTGCAGTAAAAGCTGGAACCTTTATAAAGTACTCAAATTGTTGAGATTAGCAGATCTGTTCCTTTCAAAACCACCTCAATTCTACTGACTGCTGTTATTGAGCTGCTGATTTCGGATTCGGCAGCAACTCCGACTGGATTGTTGAGCTCAGCTCAGCAGTAGCTAGACTCATGACCTTTTAGTCAGGTCACAATGTATTTCATGTTAGCTTCTGAGATCGTTCAACTCCGTACAGCGCTCGATAGCGGGTTTTTGTGCTCGGCCGATCCTTACCATGACATGGAAGTCTGAGTTCAAATTTAAGATTTAGTCCGTTAGCCGAATATTTTAATGCAACACCGTCGTCGATCTAATCTGTTACTCATGACCGTCCCAAAAAAAAAATTTCCAAATGGCTTGCTGTTGTTCCTAGACTGCTGCAACCGCGGTGCCCTGACTAAATGACTTAATGCAACCTCGACTATTAGCCGCCCATGAGTTGCAACACGCAACCATGGTCCACAATACAAGCTCAAAATCTAGCCCTGCAAATATACCATATAACCAATCAAGTTTTATTATTATTCAAGTTTTAATCTCCTGCCTCTCTCCAGACCTGCGTTTAAGGCGAGGTTAGCCCGACTGAGTACAAGTCCTGTGGTACCATTAGAGCAGTGTCCCCGTTAAATCTGCCTGGTGCTTTAGTCCCTTGTCCTGGGTGAAGAGGTGATGAACTACTGTTCAGCTCATAACTTCGCTCATGAACCCCGTAACTGGCCGCCGCTACCGTGGTCCTGATCAGGCACACCAACTTTCAGCTAACCGGTTGCCCCCACGAGTCGCCAAAAATGTGGAGCTGGCCGCCAGTTTTTAGGAGATTTGGGGTCCTTTTTGGTGACGGGCCTGGGGGTATATTAGGCAATAAACTGGTAAGGAGTTCACCTGACCCATTCCACACACAATAAAATTCGTCTCCTCAAAGACAAAAATATTGTGCAGCAATCAGGTCAACAGAAATTAAACTGTGGTGGATATTGGATAAACCAATATAAGGTATTAAAATCAGCACCATTCATACGAATTACAATGAGATTATTAGCTTGGAGTGGTGTCAGCAGGACTAAAACCACGTGACTAAAACCACGTGACTAAAAACCAACGTGACCAACGTAGACCACGGAAATACGACCCGCTGTCGTTTGAGTGAGATAGATGAAAATAGTCACGAGAAGAGTTTAGGATAATTAGAGAAGAGGGACATTTCACTCCGTGAAAGTATGCCTCCCAAGAGATCATTGATAAATTATTTATTTTTTTCTGCGGAAAGTGAAAGCGAAATAAAGGCACTGCTTAGTCGAAGATGACAATTACAGGATCATCCAACATGGCTATCCTACTTAGTGGAAGTTACAGTGAAAAGTAACAGTGGAAGTGAACGTGAAACTCACCAGCGTAGTGAAGGCTGTGCCTGTCGAAGGTGACGATATGAGGGTCCCCAAAGACACTGCAAACATTGATATTCTCTTTAGTCTTTGATGGTTCAGTTGGTTCGGGTAGGGGAACGACGTCCAGCTGCACTGATCGTGTGTACACATGCTTTGTCTGACAGTTGGTTGCCTTGGCAACGTACTTTCCCGTCATTCCCAACGTTAGAGTGTCTAAAATCAACTCCAATCCTGGGGAAGCGGGGAAATTAGTCAAAGTTTATTCCTAACTAATGTGTTCATGACAAACACTCGGCTGGAATTAATTGACGCGTATGAAAATGTTTTCCCCCTCACAAAACTGAATATAACATCTAAATTACTTGCTTCACTTAAATCATCATCTTAATTTCATATTATCAAAAGACATACCTCTACCGACAGATTCCAAGAAGTTTCCATCGTTATCGACTTTCTGCCACTCAACATTGGGCTCAGGATTACCCCCAACAACAGCAGATAGAACAAACCTCCCTCCCTCGTCCACAGCTGCATCCTCTCCGAGCAGAGTAACCTCTGGGGCCGTGATCGGAGGACATTCTCCCGGGGAGATGATGGAGGCTGAGTCGTAGTCATTACTGCAACTAGTCTTGTTCCACACACATGGGTTGAAATGAATCTCACAATCCGCTCCGCACACAGGCTCGTAGGTCAGCTCACAGAGCAGTTCCGGGCACTCACAGCTAGCTGACGCTTCGTCGTAGTTCTGAAAACAGGTTGATATCAGGTTGATATTACCTTATATGGTAGTCTTATATTACCTTATATGGTAGTCTCATCATCATTACATTATCTTATACGTTAAGTTCGGGTGTGGTTGAGTGGCGTAATTGTATTCGTGAAATCTTGTTGATATGCTTTAACCACATTTTTGCACCCTTAGATTTTGTTAAATTTGAGATTTTGTTAAATTTGGTCGACAAACTTGTATTTTTTTTTGTGTAAAAAAGGGGTGAAATTTTGGAAGATTCCAACATGAGTAATGAGTATTGAGTGTGAAAAATGATGTAAACCAATGACTGCGAAACTAAATGATTGAGATAAAGAGTAAAGCAAGTTCCACCTGAACACAACTTTTAGGAGGTTTGCAGTCCACTTCCTGACAGAGGTCCATGACACGGAGATAAGCTCTGGATTTGACGGTGCCCCAGTAGTTAGCAGCGATACACTCATACCAACCCTCATTTGCCTCCGTGATGGGTCCAATAGTCTGCTGTACTTCAGGGAGAGACTCTTCTCCTTTAGAGACATGATTCTTGTTGAAAGTGGGGATCGCGTAGTTACTATCAGCCCTCACTATAACTAAATGTGGACTGGGCGACCCTGTCGCACTGCAGAAGAACTTAGCGTAGCTCTCTTTGGGCACGGTCACGTTTCTGGGGTGCACTTTAATGGTGGGCTGTCTGAGCTCGATGGGGAGCTGGGTGGAGGGCCCCGCTGCAGTGTAACGATCAGTTATGGGGGCGGGAGGGGTTGTATCATCGTCTGCGGGATCTGTGGGCTCCGCTGTTGTCACAAAGTCGGGAATATCAGGGGTGGTAGCTGTGTCGGTAGTGGACGGGTCAGGAAGACCTGTTGTGCCTGGTTCAGTTTCAGCATCCGTTACCACTGTGAATTTGGGGGTTTGTGTCATGATGGGGGGAGTTGGGGAGTAGGTCAAGTCGGGGACGGGATCTGTCTCTTGACATTGCACCAAACAAGCCAGCCCACATAATAAAACGAAACGGAACATTTTGCAAATGATTCTGCAATGATTGCAGCAGCAGGAAGAGATTGTTTACTTTGGCCCGCGTTAGGAACCCTCAAAGAGCCCGCTAACCCATACACTCCTAACCCGTGAAATACGGCCACCCCCGTACCCCTCTCGGAGAGGCTCTCCTGCTTGACAAATCCAGAGGGAGTAGAGGTGACCATATTCGCACATTTACAGTAATCTTTACAGTCCCTTGTTTCTGCTACACTGCAGCATGAGATTGCTGGGGATCCAATTACATATGGAGCGAGTATAGCTGCAACTAAATTGGAACAGCAATTTACTAATGATTTTAATTTGTCTGGCAGAAACGACCGTACTTAGGGAATTAGAGGAATTTATGAAAATTTGGAGAAATACTGCAGCTGATAGCAATTATTACCTTATATGGAAGTGTTGCCATGTCAACGTTACCTTACATGGTAGTATTTCCATATAATTCTAACCCATCGGTCTACTTTGATTAGCCGTGTGTCTGAGAAGCAACTTATTCTGTCCTCAAATCGAGTCGTGATTATTACTTGTTATAACGTATTGAGGGAACCATGAGAAAATAAATATCCAACCCAGTCACAGATGGCTAAAATACCATTTTAAAAGTTAAAAATAGTTGGGTCCGCAAATTTAAAATTTATACTCCGAGTCACAAGCTAAATTTTGCCGCACAGCATGTTGTTATGGTAGAGTTGCCAGTTGTGGGTGTAACTGTAATGGAACGCCAAATTTAGTGGATGCAACTTCAATGACTTCAATTGAATTTTAATAGATAATAATTATATCATATATATTTTTGAGTAAACATTGGCTCATGGTACTTCGGGCCGGTCCCCAACTCGCAAATCGATTTGTTTTGGGCCATTCCGACTCTGAGATTGACTATTCTGCTAATAATGTTATATCAACACTTGCGAGTAGACCAGCTCAGGATAAAGTAATGTGCATGCTGCATGCGTTGACTTAGGTAGATACATGACACATTATTAGGTCAAGGTTGAACTTGAAGCATAAAATGTTGAAGAATTGAAGCATAAAATGAAATTATGGCTTGTTCCAAGCAGAGCACTATCACGGCATAAGCTGATACCTTAATTAATAAATTAATAACTATGAATATCTTAGTTGCGAAAACAAAGTTGACGAAAACTTTAGTCCGCGAATTATCGTTAACGGAAGATCGACCGTTTCATCGCAAAATTGTCCGTCGGAATATTGATGATATTATTATTACTTTATTTAATCATACAATGAATTTAAATTTGATCTCGAAGCCACTCTAACATCTTTGATTTTCACACATCGATAAAAAATGTAATTTTTACCGGGATCTTTAGGCATTTTAATGTCAATGGGCTTTTGTGCAGCTTAGTGGCCTTTAATTGTGCTTCCACATATCCAATTATCCATGGTAGTGGTACTGTAAAATGTATTGAAATCTGACAGTTATTGATTATTTAATTTGACATGGTGATTGAATAATTCGAAAAACAAAATTATCGTCGGGAATGGTTTCTACCGAGTTTGGGTTTTGATGAAAATGGTCGCGCTGAAAATGTTCGTAGTTAAGCTGTATATCAACATCAACTTTACTGAAATGGAAAACCAGAAAAGGCTGAGTGAGCCGAGTTTTGTGAATTCATGCGATCGAATGCCGGAATGGTGCAGCCGCACAGTAAACAAAATTAAGTGATGTTCAAATACTGATTCGGATATGCCCTGATTTACCGCCTAGTGTTTTCCCGGCCCCAAACCACGCGCTAAATCAGGGAAAATATATAAAAAAAATATATAAATAAAAGTTAAACAACAATTAAGGACATGAAGAATTACAAATAAAATGTACAATTATTTAATTCTAAAAGTTAATCCAAACAAAAAGAAAACAGAATTAAGAGATTATTTATTACTTTTTCAAAACACCTGAAACTTTAAGGATTATACCAGTTTTCAGACGTTTTCCAACCTATCATCTCCAGGCCAGCATAGGGGTGCATGCGAAGCCACATAATATAATAAATTATCCACTTCTAATTATCAATTTAACGCAGAGTTTTTGAAAAACGAGCCCCTATACTGAGATGAGTAATCAGTATTGTACATCATCGAACCAAACACTTGAAGTGTTATATTCGATAAAATTTGAGAGTTTAAACTTAAAGCGCCCATTGGCGAGATGCTCATATCATAAGATCGTGGATAAAACAAAACGTGCCTTTTGTGTCTGATCAGAAGATAATTAAAAACGGCTAAAGTAAAGAAATAACACAGCTTTGGTCGAATCAAATAATAAGGCGTTTTTGAAATTTTTAAAAATCGCTTTTTTGTGTCTTTACGTTTGTTTTGCGTTTTCATAACTTTGAAAACATTCAAATTTTAAAATGTCTCATTAATCTGAAGACAATATGGATATTCATTTTTCATTTCCATGCCATGTGATGGCTGTCTCGATATCATCAACAATATTATCTGATCCATCAGTCGGTGACTGTTCTACTCTCCTGATATCATCCTCACTTGCATCCAATGTTGGATGCGGTATAGTTACCATTTCAAAGTTCTCTTCTGGTTTGTTTCTGGAATTTAGTCTGCATATACTCATCATTGTAATATAAGTACTTTGAATCTTTTTCTTGAACAATTCCCTCAATGTGTTGTCATATAGTAAAGGGTTTATCACGGAGTTGATCGGTAGCACAAGCATTGTCAAGTTCACGTACCATTTTGTAGCATCAATTATATGTAGGTTATGAAACGTACATATAGTGCAAAATGGCGCCCAGCACAGGAAGTCAGTTACAATGATGGCGGTGATTCTTTTTTGGATGGCCCTGTTTTGTCTTACTCTATTCGGGCTCTCAATAGCTCCTGACCTAGCAGAAGATCGTCTTGTTAAAAAGTTTATAATGACATAACAGACTGTGATCACAACGAAACAAATAATGTTGAGGCCTAGGATTATCCACATCATTGTATCACCTTCGTGATCACTGATGTCGGTAAAATTGTCTAATCTTTCTCTGCTTCTTCGAGCATCATCCCGCCGAACAAAGTACTTAAATAGACAAATCCCGTCATTTCCATAGAAATGAACTGCCTTTCTATTCATTATCCCATAGTTTTGACTAAACATTTCGTCTACTTTTCCACCTATTTCTTTCCAGGTTGCATCAGCGGTGATATTCAATGAATTGTTGTATTTTTTGAGAACTCTTACATGTCTAGCTTTGTCAGGAAAACCAATGAAAAATGTATAATCAGGATCGTAATGGATTCCTTGCACAAAGAAATCCTCTAAATAAGGGGCCAGGGGTATCAAAGCTACAGCTAGTGATGAAGCGACTGCTCCTAGTGTCAGAAGAACTGCTTTTATGATGGCTCTCTCATTCATAGGGGCCGGGGGAGTCATTCTCGTTGAATTTCGAACGAGACCAGTCATCCTGTCCATGCTGAGGATGGTCATTGTGAAGAGAGACAACTGTGACCCTACAGTGCTTATGATCCCTAGTGCTTTACATGCATCTCCTGTAAACCACTCGATTTGATGTTTACAGAAGTTTTTCCCATAAATGAGACTGTCGTAGGTTGACAGTCCTATCAGATATATACCGATAAGTAAATCACCACATCCAACCAAACTGACGAGAGATCTTGTCATCAACATATTTTCCGTTTCACATTCTTTCATTTTTATGAATCCATTTAATACAGTGAAAACGTTAAAGATGACCGCCAAAATTCCGAAAAACCAACAAACAAATTTTAACGCCAAGTTTTCTAGAATTTGTTTCCCACAGTGCCCATTACACTCGTCCGAGAGATCATAACAATCATAAATACCATCGCATTTCATCGACAAGGCTATCAGTTGTCTTTTGTTTTTAAGATGTTCGGTGTTTTTACAAACCATGTGATTAGAGCACATTTCTTCATCACTCAAATCATCGCAATCGTTGACAAGATTGCAGAGTTTACAATAGTCTACACATTTTTTGTTTTTGCACTCAAAGAATTTTTGCTGATACACGCGCTTTCGTGTGGTGATTGCGAAGGTAAGATAAGAATTATTTGCTAGTGTATAGACTCGGTCAGGAAATTGAGTCGGACAGGAATCATGCTTCAGATTACTATAACGAAGAGGACAAGTGGTGGTCGTAAGGCACATACCCATGCAACTTAGGTAAACATAATATTCACCATACTGATAATTGCAATCTTGTTTAGAGCTTGGATCAGTTGGGACTTCAATTTCAAACCCCGAAAGTCCGAAGATGTTTTTCCCATCCGGAGGTCCTTTTGTCCAATCAGTCTGACAGGGCGCCGAATATGCTGGTATGTCTGGAAAATCTCTAGCGATTCGGCAGACATCGTTTTCGATTCCATTGCTGCACGATTCGATACCGTCACAAAGAAAATCTGCCATAACTGTATCATTCTGTGACGTCACTGATCGTGGACACAAGAAGACATTTTTACATTTCTCACTGCTTAGATTGAACCATGATGTTTCTTCAATTTGATTCTCACATAAGTTCCAATTCTCCTTAATCTCATCTGCTCCATTTTGGCAATCAGTAACACCGTCCATGATCCATGACATAGGAAAGCTGTGTACAAATCTGCCATAACGGAACATCCGCGCACAATTGAATTTTGTTACCAAGAATCTGCAGATTTCACTGTTTTCATCGTTTCCGTGCGGACAGTCATTGAATCCATCGCACATCTTGTGTTTATGTACTTTGCAGTCAGCAGAAGGGGAGACGCAAACATTTTCCAAGCCACCATCACATATCAGGGTTGGTTCCTTAGTCTTTCTGTATTCACTGTCACACACGACGTATTTAGACACACTCGACATATAACCATTTACCAGACAGTAACCCCCTATTCGCTCTTCCCCAGTACAGTTGGTCTGGTCCGAATAGTCCGCGCAGTAAGGGTAATAACCTTTGTCGATGTCGAACACAGCACACCTTGTATAGTTTAATATCGGTACCGTGATATTCGTTTCAAGTTTGTTTTTCCAGTAGTGAGTGCACGAGGCTGATGCTGAGTAAATCACCGAGCAGTCACTCTCCGCATGGAAATCAGAACAAGTATTTCCGAAACAGTTCATGTCGGATATTATCCTACTCTTGGGAGTTCCCGTGATCAAACACTTTATCCCATAGAAGAGGCCGTTACAATACGACTCGTCCTCGCAGAAGTTCTTATCGCATTTGTCATTACATATTGTGGTGTCTTGTGGACTAAAATTATGTGCAATATCTGTTTCACACAAAACATAGCCAGCGGTGGTTTTGCTGATTTGTTCTCGGTCAAAACATGTCTGATATCCGTAGGGGTCGTTATCACATATTGCAGAGATTTTGAGAGATTTACCTTGTGTGGTCATATTGTAGTACTCATCAGAGTTGGTGCATTTGAAGTAATACATTTTCTTGCTTAGTTCGTCAGAACATGCAGTCTTCAAGAAGTCTCCTACCCTGGTTGTGGCACACTTTGTCTCTGAATCCCTCAAGTCCTGCACAATCCGGTAATCAATGCATCCCTTACAATTACAATTAGTGGCTTGACAAAAGCTTATCTCAAAATCTCTCTGATAACAACAAGGATAATCTCCGTCAGGATCACACTCTTCTGACAGTAAGCTGGCTTCCTGTTGATACTTGTCGCATCTCTTTCCCGAATCAACATATACTGTGGAGCTCTCTGAAAATTGTGAATTGAGCGTTAGTTATGTACTGACATAAAATCAGCCAAAATCATAAAGAAGTTTTGTTTACCACTGGAGATAACCACAAAAGTTTCTTAATATTATCGGATAAGTAATATGGAAAAATAAATGGAGGCAGGATAAGACAAGATCAGCTGTTGTAAGTCAGCTGCCTACTGCCTAGGACTGGAGGATTGAAATTTAATTCTTTGAATGAACTCATGTGAGTAAAGGTGTAAGATGTAGTTCCTAACTATAACAGAAGTCTAGACTCACTAAAACTAAACGATGAAGTAGTTCCCGATATCAGAAACTGAGAAGGAGTGTGTCTATGTGTGGTCCCTGTGTGTGGTCCGGATCAGGGTTACTGAAAATATTCTTTAGATAATCCGGTCGAAAAAATATTTACTTTGGTCAGAAAAAAGGTGAGCAGCAAAATTTGTAGCAAGATTTTGAGATACTTGAAAACATAACGACTTACATTTACCACATCTAGGTATATCACAAATTCCCATCGAGGCAAAGTTCCCTCAGCATTATAACACCAGGGGACTGGTTCACTGAAGACAATTAAACCATGTTAAAAGAGTTTTTAAAAGCAGATTCACGTATACTTCATGTTTTCAGGAACCCTACAATACAGCGGACTCGGCTCAGCGGGCTTGGGACAGTGGACTGGGCTTGCTGAAGACGATTTACACACGATTTGAAAGCTTCTGAAGAGCCCTATACAGGCTACAGTGTAGTTTGAGTTTTATTTTGTAAATTGTTTGCACTTTTCTCCTTACTTTCTTATGAATTGATGGTAATGGTATGCAATTGCAAACAGATGGAAGACTCACCCGTCTGGATTTCTGCAATAGTTCTTTTGTAGTCCTGCGTCAGGGTAACTGGAAATATTGTTTAGATAATCCGGTCGAAAATTAAGGGTTTGCACTAACTTTTAAATGTTTAATGCCGCTTATGCTGTTTCTTGGCTACGACTGATTAACTGTTATGACAAAGTAAAAACAACAAAACTCACGAGAAAGAAGTTCTATCGTGTCTATTAGGTGATTGAGAGTCCCATCTCTGACAGATGTGTCCTGATAACGTGACAGATACATTTCCCCTGTACATTGATCCATCCTTATCCTCTTCGTCAACGCACAAATCTTATAAAGGAGATTTATTATTATTTAAAAAAAGGTTAGTGTCTCATTTTGACGATTTTTTGGTCCAGGGCAATCAAATAAACAATATTTTGATTTTTTCAGTTATAAATTGCTTTGTGAAATCAACTTTGGTTTCGCGACTTAAAGTTTTGAAGGTATACAGTTATGTATTCTCACCTGGAGGTCGTACAGATCAAGTCTGAAATGAAGAGAGCAAGATAAGTAACAGATAAAGCCTCCTCTTCGCCAATCCCATATCAATAAGCTTTCTGTGGCGTTAAAATTCATGAGGCAAATATCTTATTGTGAACCAAAATGTATTGAAATTCAAATAACGGTTCGATTGGCACTCCCTTTATATTTGTAAAACTAATTTTATACAATACTCCGCCCCACTGGCACTAAATCGCTCGCCCAAACATTTTATAAATCTTGGCCCTGAGAGTATAAAAGTAAGTATTAACTGCTAACGATGTATTTTTGGACGCTAATTCCATATTACCCCCACGACGTAGGGTAAAAATGCTTCCCTCAGGAGTTATGAGCAAAAGTGTTAAAGTAATTTGGTTGAGGTAATAGGGTTTTTGTAAAACCGTTTTATTCGCGGCTGCAAAATCGTACAAACCTAAATCACGTGATAATTTTTTTACGCTTATATAATTTGTGTAATGAATAATTAAACAGTGCAATTGCCGAGTGGTTTAGGCATCTAGAGCTTACATGTGATAAAACTTATCTTAAAGTTAAGGTGATACTAGCAGGTGATTTCAATGCAATTGACCGATCTTGAAAACACATCGAGGAAGATAATTGAAGCATTATCTGCTGCATACCCATTTTAACCACGCAGCCACCCTGTCTCAATGTTCGTTCTAGCAAGGACCAGATGTTATCCTAGAGGAAAGTTACTCCTTGACTTTTGGCCGTGCAACTCTAACCCATCCTAAACGGCAGCGTACTCACCTGGCGATTCCTTAGGGGGAATTACATCGGTGAATTATGCGAGCTAGCGTTGTTGGACTATGTTGCTGTAGGAGTGACATAAAGCGATCGTTAAGTGTTTTAGTGACCTTGATTTGAACAAAATTCTCGATCGCAAACCCTCTGTCAACAACACTTAACTGGACACAAATAACCTTTCAGAAGAAATACTGCGTGACTCGAGGACGCGCCAGGAAGTACAAATGGCCATGTGAGGATAATGTGAGCTCAAAATTCCTTGCTAGCTATGGGTGACCTAGTATAAAGGAAAGACGGAAACTCTGGCTACAAGTTTCATGCAAAAACCCATCAAGGACGTTCTTAACCTTAACAACCAATTTGTGAGCTGTTCATAAGTTGCTGAAAAGTTGATGCCCGAAAAACGCCTCAAGTAGTCAGAATGGCCGAGACTATAATCATATCGGTAGCACCAAAAGAAGAGTCGAATGAAGCCAATGGCATGGGTTGGAACATTGAATTGTATCCAGTCTTAAGTGGACACTCAACTTCTAGCAAAAAAGTATGGAGTACCCCATTGGACAGCTCTCGGGGACTTCTTATTACGAACTCGGGCGACAATATAGAAAAGATTGATCAGGACATAAGCGATCCAGAATTCTTTGAGAAGCTTTGCAAGGACATAGAAACCAGGGAAAACATTCTGCTGGAAAATCCTTCAAAGCTCTTAAAAATACAAAATCGCCTGCATCCAGTCTTGATGCCTTCGATATGATCAACTTTTGCAAGTTCTTCAGTGAACTTTACGGCAAAAGAACATCAAAGGACTCTATGATCGCAGAGCTACAGTCAAAGATGCAGGAAAATAACACATTTGTGGACGACCTGACAAAGCTTTCTCGGATCAGATATAACGTGGAAAGAGCTGTGTGCTTCATTAAGGCAACTAAAAAGGAAGGCAGTTTCCGAAGATCTAATTTTAATGAATTCTTCAAAGCCTCAACACTATCATGCTCAAGCAGTCCTTCACCTCTTCAACCACTGCCTAAGACTAGAGATTTACCCATTGGACTTCATCAGTAGTTACACCACTACACAAAAAAGGGATATCTAATGATCAACAACTACAGAGCCATCGCTGTATCGAGCAATTCGGAAAGCTCTTTGCAAGCCATATTGCTGAAGATTGATAATCATTTCCTGATCATGTGATACCTGATACAGCCAACCAACTGGTTTGCTGTAAAGACGCCTGGACAGCAGACACAGTTCACACTTTCAACCTGCGTGGAAAAAAGTATGTCACCAAGAAACGCCAAGGCTATACAATGCTTTGTCGATTATGCAAAGCGTTTGACTCCCATTTGTGTGAGGCATCCTATACAAGTTGTGGAAAATGGGTATTAAAGGGAGATTCTTTGAGTGCATTAAGTTCATGTACTCAACCTCCTCAGCCAAAGGAAGCTACTCGGCAAGCTGTCACAGAAGATCGACATATATGTGTTACCGAGCAAGGAAACCCCAATGTCCCTGACTGTTTTAATGCTTTGTCCACCTGCTTTCACATGATCTCCACAACATCGAAGGAGTGAAATTCCCTGTCCTAATGATACAGATATAACTATCTTGCTATGGGCAGACGACCTTGTCTTTAGCCTCAACATACACATCTTCAACAAATGCTTGATGTCCTAAAACAATTACTGCTCAGAATGGGGGCTGACGTAAAACGTTGGAAAAATTCGTCCTTGTGTTTAACCCAACAGGAAGCATCTGAAGGAAAGTCATGGTTCAAACTGGGAGGAGAGAACAAAACAGATACCCTCCGGGAGAGAGTATTGTTCCCTTGGCCATTACATTTACTCTGAAGCGGATCACTTAAGCTATCACACAAAAGCTGAGGGCAAAAAGCATTAAGAAGTTTATTTCTCTTTGAAAGCATACATTGATACCGCCACATCAGGAAAATCTTTACTGTTCAAGCTATATGATCACTTATTGTCCTGTGGTGTCGTTGGTTGCCAAGTGTGGCTGCAAGCACAGTCTGTTCCGCAACCTTCCCCACCACACCGAGCACCACACAGAAACAGGAAACGTGTTGTACACTCATTGCCAGGGACCCTCTAGAGAACTTTCATCTGTCTCTTTGAATGGACCTTAGGGGTGAGGAAGTCGCATCCAATGCTGCGATATGGGGTGATCGAAGGCAGGCATCACTTTCTTTTGGCATCACGCTATCAAAGGCAAGTGTTCAACTACATAAGAAAGACTCTGACAATGGTTGTTAGACGGTTCGTGACTGCTTTGTAGACACGCTTTCGAAGAGCAGGCGACCCTAACTGTGCTGGTTCCACTCTCGAGCTGATGCAAGAAAACATCGAGGCATCAGAGAGAAAGCAAGGATTAAGACCAAAGCCAGATTAGAAAGAGGTTTGCAAAAGTGGTTTATAAACTTCCTGAAAGGGAAACAGGAAAAGGACATCTACAGAAAACTATATTCATAAAATTTGCGAAGAGAAAGTTTTGCTCAAAGACGTACCTAGCCTTTGATCTTAAACTATGCTCAAATGAAGATCGCGCAATTCAGAAGCAGCTCCACCGCTTTACGTTGAAACTGTTCGCTACGGCAAAAAGCGGTTTACAAAAACATCGGGGCCTGCAGGACATTGCTGCTCAAGTGACGGATGACTTGTTAGATCTTCTCTATGAGGGGATACCAGGGGCCTATCCGTGTAGAAGATGAGATCACATCCTCTACGAATGCCCCTAATACGATGAAATACGCAAAAACCTGCCATCAACGAACGAGGGACCTGTTAGTAATGAGAGAAGAACAGGGAGAAATCTTCGACGACTCAAACATCATTTAGAGACATGGTCGTTTTTTAAATAGGTCGATGAACGGAGGTTCCGAGAAACATATGAATGAATGTAGTGTTTTGTACTATTTTGATACAGTGTTGTGGACAATGTATGATACTTTCTTTGTCATTGTTGTTTGCTTCTTGGCTGAGTTTTTTTGCATACGACTGTGCTATCTGTGATATTTTTTTTCATGGCTATCTACTTTTACCACCATGTTTGGTTTCGTTACATTGGAGTTTAGTTTTGATATTAAACCTTCTATTTCTATATTGGTCAGACACGGCATCTGCCGTTTGACCCAATTTTGTTTAATTCCTGTTTAATTCCTGTTTAATTCCTGTTTAATTCCTGTCTTAAATGGTAATGCCAAAATCAATTAGGCAATCAGTCTTCAATTCGTCGTATTATTATTGCACAATGTTCTTACTCTAAGTCTATAAAGGGTTGAGTTCGTTACTGGAATAGCTTGAATTTGCTATTCAATAAAATTGCGTACATCGGTCGTCTAGGAATCTAAACTTTGAAAAATCAGCAAGGTCTGCCCACAATAACTATAAGAACGATACAATCCTGAATCACTCTGAATAAGCAACGACAGACTTGAAACTTGTCTTATAATTGGGACTGAATGGTTGTTTGGTAAATGCCAGATGATAAGGATGAGTAGAAGAACAGCATTACTTACGTATATCTCCTCATTAGCTCATTGCACTACTAAAGACAAAGTCACCATTGCTGGGATACAAATTACAGATTCTGTACATTCAAACAAAATACCAAATTTAAATATAAAAATAAGTTTTATTCTCGAAGCAACTCCAAACTGAAAACAACTCCATATCTAAATACCAAATTTTAAATGTTAAAATAAGTCGCCTTCACTTTGCAGATAACTCCAAATCGAAGAAGAGAGCTCCCTTTGATTCGAATATTTTACTATGTACGTATCATACTGGGAAACTGCACCGTATTGTTACATCACATTTATAACTTTATAATGGATCCAATAGCTGCTATTGGACCAAGATAAATATTAGAGCGGGATGAAATCTCCTTCAAACCTATAGTACAAGCTTGCGCTGCACTGACGTCAGCTTTTTTGTGATTTCTTGGATAGCTAACCCACAATTCATATTCATGACATTCTTTCTTTGCCAAGCTGCGTTTTCAAAATCTTAGCGGTTCAATTGTATCGTTAATTCTTGCCTACCCTACGAAGAAGAAGAATATTTGCAGCATAATATCCGTACCAGTTATACTTACAATTACATAACCCGTACCCGCTATAACACGAGATGATGAGCGTTATTTTAACACTAAAACATTGCAGGAGCCAGTAAACCCGCAGAGATAATCCCTTTTCTGTACCTTGGTAACGAGAGAGACTCTGCCGACTTGACTCTACTCAGAAAACTCGGCGTCTCCAAGGTAATTAGTTAATTAATTGAGTGGTTATAGGTTTGTTACTTTAACTCCTAAGTGGCGTGCGGAGGCACGATTTAAAGGGGGGAGAAGATGTAATATTGTTCGGTGATCTTAGTCTCCACACGTGACTGGTGTTAAGGTCACGTGCGTAATGCTAGGCTTGTGGGCGTGGTGGCTGCAAACTAATACAGACCTAATGTTTAGCCCCTTCCCACGGCCCGTAATGTTATCGGCTAATTAAGAAATTGTACTCGAAATGGAAAACGCCCTTATCTCAGACTGTGTAAACTTGCATGGTGTTGAATGTATACTTACCAGCCAACTTATACTCACCGTGATCCCCGATTTAGTATTTACCGTGATCCCCTTGTGATTGTGGTTAGTCTTCCTTTCTCACGAGAGCCCCTGCAAAACATTGTTAAACAGTATCAAGCTTTTAGTTCAAACACTTTACTAAAACTCATTTAGAGGACTAAATGGGTTGCTTAAACCGCTAGTGGTCTGGTCAAGCTTCCTATCAAGTATCAGCTCACATAACTGCAATATTAAAGTAATCTCCAAGCTTGGTAGACACCGTTAAGAGTTGGATATTAATGCAGTTTCAAAGTTTCGTAGACACAGGTTACGCAGTTGTTAGATTAGTGTCTGCTGTAACCGTGTGTTAATGCCACATAGTTTGGAAGATATCATTAATCTCCCTTCCTTTCTTGAGCAAACCCCTAATATGAAGTAGTAGAGAATGGCGATCTTAGAGTTGTATAGTGGTCATTGAACTAGTGATTAATTGGAAAGTGCTGAATTCGTTGAGAATAACAAATTTTTTCTGTAATGTGCAGTGATCCTAGTCTGAGAATGCAGTACCTGTTAATAAATCAAAACACACCCCTCCCTCCCTACCTGTTAATAAATCAAAACACACCCTGGTAATAAAGGATTGATACATGTAGATTGTAGTGGTCACGGAGTCTCTGGGGACCACCGTTAGAAGAAGCCACAGTGGCGGTTTTGCAGTGTGAGAAGTAAGGGTAATTTTACAGTCTGATCTAATCTCTGAAAGAGCTTAACGGTCACTAATCTGCGGTAGGATTGTGGTTACAAGCTTTGATTTTGAAACATTCAATTTGTAATCACACCCATGGCGCAGAACAACATTCTCTTCCATCTTCCGTTAACTTCATTGCTGACTACCCCAGTTTTCCGTTGCTCCAAATTCAAGGATTGCGCAACCTTAAATGACAATGTCTCGCTGGTCCACCATGGTACACAACTACTTAACCCTTACAGGCGACCAATAATAATGGACGGTGATTTTAACACCAAAAAAGGAGCTGCATTAACAGTAATTTAACCTTACTTGATGGTTCTGTCTCAGTTCAGCAAGAAACTAATATCTATAATATGTGTATAACGCCCACTCTAATCTCATCAACAAATCCACCTTGAATACCACCTTATTAGGTATCAGACAGCACTCTCTTGGTTTACAAATTTACCAGTTAGACACCCTCGAATCACTGCTAGCTTACCATTTTATCCCACCTGAATCAGACATTATTCTTATAATGTTATAAGATGACTTAATAGAACTCAAAACCACTATAACGAGTGAAAATATAGATAACTGAAGATAATGTATAGAAATCCTGATAATACTGGCCATAAGTACTTTAAATGGCTAATGCATTACCTTCTCCCTTTTATCACCGAATTCTTTCTTGATCATACCCTTCTAGTGTCGTGAGATATATACAGTCGTGATAATAAACCGTAATGTCGTGGCCACAATGTCGTGTAGTATAAAGTTGTGGCCTGCAGTATAATGTGTGTCCTGATAAAGGTAGTCACGTCTGTTATACAGCACTGTCAATGTGTGGTGATATTAGAGCGTTGAAAGCCGGGAGTTAAGCAGTAAATTTTACCAGACAGAGGAGAAGTTAGTGTTCTCTTGCTGCCTTACACGCTAGTTAGACAGCCTCACAGCTTGTAGTGTAGTTAACGAGGGGAACACGCTATATAACCCTGTGTAAGGAGGGGGTCTTCTTTGAGAGACAAATTCGCGACAAGCTTCACAAATAGTTTTATATGGTGCCGTGAAGGGTTTGATAATGAAAGTGAAAGTGTAAAATTCCAGCTCGCTGCTGTGTACTGATCTCAAACTATCATCAAACAAGAAGAAAGTGTTAAGTTAGGCGTCTAAATCTGATCCTCTCAGTGAAACACAGCTTCTTACTGCTCCTTTCCTCCGACTCTGTGATTAAACCCATCTCACTCTCGTTTCTTTCAAGTCACTGTCTCTTTACCAGTGCATCACTCGTGCCCTTGTCTCCCCCTGTCTTATTTACGGTTTCCTCAGTAGACAAGATGCCTTAGGCATGCTGTGTAACATCAACCTTAAATTTGTTTACCCACGACGACTATCCCGAAACTAAGACGCGTAAAAGTCATGCAAATATTCATTGTATATTCAGTGTATATTCAGTGCATATTCAGTGCATATTCAGTGCATATTCAGTGTATATTCAGTGCATATTCAGTCAGCTGAAAACGCTATTTTAAACGCTAGCTGCAAGGTGTAGGCAGACAGACTTGACTGGGTTCTTGTCTAGCGAATTCTTTTCTGGGCACTTGTTTAAGTTATGCACGTGTCAAGTACGATACTTGCTGAGGGAAGACATTATCATGAGATTACTGTTGCCTCTTTATATCAAGAAAACAACATTTTTTTCAAGAAAACATACCTGCCAAAATATGGACGTTAGATAGTATTACGTATCCTAAAATTTAACACTGAATTCCTCACAAGTTGCTACTGGAATGTGTTGTGGCCTACCCGATATAGACGTTTATGATACAGCTTAATATATAACACAAATACTATTGCTACAGGAATACCTTTATTATAACTGTGTGTGTGTGTCTGGTGAACGCAAATAGTTACTTTTGTACCTTTATTTGCTATTATAGTAAGGGGAAAAGTGGCATTCCGTTGGATTTGAATGTTCACAAGGATTTCTCAACGGAATATGGTAGTTAGGACCCCTACGAACATAATTAGACTTGTTGCCAATTTTGTATCTCAACAGAAACACCACTTTTACCACTTTTTACCACCTCTGTACCACCTTTCTGGTTTGCCAAATATCTTTAGTTGTGAACATCGTAGAAGGCTGCAAATTAACCTAGAATGTTTATCTTATCAAGGAGTAAAACTTTTGTATTAAAAATTTTTACATTGGACAATCAGCTAATTGGATAATTACCAATTAGTTAATCACCAAAAAAAGTGAAAATTTTTTATTGGCTCAAAATGATTGAAATAGTTTGAAACACGGAGAAATGTAGTTTTTAGAAAAACTTCAAAAATTTTTCACTTAAAAATTTTTTTCGAGACTTAAAAAAAAAGTTTGAAAATTTGAAAATATTTTTTTCCGCCAAAGGTGATCGAATTGCATGAAACGTGAATAAAAATGCTTTGCAGTAAAACTTCGAAGATTTTTAGATTGGGGAATTCTAAAATCATCAATATTTGAAGTTGGAGTTCAGTAAATCTCGACATATTTTAGTAATTAGGAATAGCTTATATATTAGCGGAAAGGGCTGAACCTGAAAAAGGTTAACCACACAATATTAGAGTTTCATAACTAATTACAATACAGCTTTATCAAATTCCACATAAAGAAACAGCACAAAAGGACCATTTAAGATCGAACCGATTTTACCTGCTGTTCTATCATTTTATTGATTTCAATGATCAAAACCTCTGTACTGTCAATCTTGCCAATCTATACCGGGTATCTGAATGTACCGGACCTTTTATTTACCTCTATAATTAGACCCAGTTGTGCAAGAAATCCGATTTCTCACAGGGGTTTCTTTTAACTGTGCACTTTTTGTCACTCTCGCAAGAGGCCCGGTATTATAGGGGGGTATAGGAAGCGTAAATATACCTTCCATCATCCACTGTGGCTTTTTTGTATTGTGAATGCGCATGCCGCTTCGTTTGCTATGCCAGATACCTCAAATAACCCCCATATCTCATTGCCAGGGTCGGGATAGAGCTGGAGATAGCATCGAGAGGTTGCTTGCTAGAAATAGCTAGATTTAGAGTAAACTGGTGGTAGCTGGGTGGTGCTAGCATGGATGTAGCAGAACGTAGCTACACGGGGTTTCATTGGAGTTGGTTATTTTAATGGCCAAAGAGTGCCGGAACTAAAGTTACTTAAGATTGCAGTTTAGGGGCAGTGTAAACCACGGTGTAGTCAGGGACACAGAGCTACAGTGCAGGAGTACTGCAAAAGAACAGTGCAAGTGATACAGTCTGCAACAGTAAAACGCCGAAGAAGGAGATAAGATTGTGGCTGCAGAGGAGGAGAGGAGCTGGAACCTGATTGTGTTTGGGTTGAATGAAGAGGAGGAAGAAGAGTTTCCTGCTCTGGTAACTGCATTTTTGGAAGAGGTGGGGTGAGAACTTATTTTCAAGCGACAAGGGTGGGCTGGAAGCAACCAGGTACAGCTACCCGACCTATTAAGATCACCATCCTGAGCTTATCAGCCTTTTATCAGAATCTGATGAAAACAGAGAGACTGACCCACCCCTTTTAGATCCAACGAAACCGTTTATATAAATCGACTTTTCCGCATGAATTACTTCATGGTATCTTCTTATCAAGGCTACAGACCTTGCCGTACCTAAGCGAGTCTCTTTAGCCCTTTTCTTCTTTAGAGCTTTAGGTTAATGATCAAACTTTTCGCTACTCGCTCTTCACTGGATCTATCAGGAAAGATTACATCTTTTTAGGTCTCAACCAGCCTTAGTTTTCCTGTTTCCATCATGTAGTACTAGTACGTTCTGCCACCTCCATTTTAGCACCACCCAGCTTTCATCAGTTCACTCTAAGTCTAGCTTTGTCGGCGTTTTACTGTTGCAGACTGTATCACTTGCACTGTTCTTTTGCAGTACTCCTGCACTGTAGCTCTGTGTCCCTGACTACACCGTGGTTTACACTGCCCCTAAACTGCAATCTTAAGTAACTTTAGTTCCGGCACTCTTTGGCCATTAAAATAACCAACTCCAATGAAACCCCGTGTAGCTACGTTCTGCTACATCCATGCTAGCACCACCCAGCTACCACCAGTTTACTCTAAATCTAGCTATTTCTAGCAAGCAACCTCTCGATGCTATCTCCAGCTCTATCCCGACCCTGGCAATGAGATATGGGGGTTATTTGAGGTATCTGGCATAGCAAACGAAGCGGCATGCGCATTCACAATACAAAAAAGCCACAGTGGATGATGGAAGGTATATTTACGCTTCCTATACCCCCCTATAATACCGGGCCTCTTGCGAGAGTGACAAAAAGTGCACAGTTAAAAGAAACCCCTGTGAGAAATCGGATTTCTTGCACAACTGGGTCTAATTATAGAGGTAAATAAAAGGTCCGGTACATTCAGATACCCGGTATAGATTGGCAAGATTGACAGTACAGAGGTTTTGATCATTGAAATCAATAAAATGATAGAACAGCAGGTAAAATCGGTTCGATCTTAAATGGTCCTTTTGTGCTGTTTCTTTATGTGGAATTTGATAAAGCTGTATTGTAATTAGTTATGAAACTCTAATATTGTGTGGTTAACCTTTTTCAGGTTCAGCCCTTTCCGCTAATATATAAGCTATTCCTAATTACTAAAATATGTCGAGATTTACTGAACTCCAACTTCAAATATTGATGATTTTAGAATTCCCCAATCTAAAAATCTTCGAAGTTTTACTGCAAAGCATTTTTATTCACGTTTCATGCAATTCGATCACCTTTGGCGGAAAAAAATATTTTCAAATTTTCAAACTTTTTTTTTAAGTCTCGAAAAAAATTTTTAAGTGAAAAATTTTTGAAGTTTTTCTAAAAACTACATTTCTCCGTGTTTCAAACTATTTCAATCATTTTGAGCCAATAAAAAATTTTCACTTTTTTTGGTGATTAACTAATTGGTAATTATCCAATTAGTTGATTGTCCAATGTAAAAATTTTTAATACAAAAGTTTTACTCCTTGATAAGATAAACATTCTAGGTTAATTTGCAGCCTTCTACGATGTTCACAACTAAAGATATTTGGCAAACCAGAAAGGTGGTACAGAGGTGGTAAAAAGTGGTAAAAGTGGTGTTTCTGTTGAGATACAAAATTGGCAACAAGTCTAATTATGTTCGTAGGGGTCCTAACTACCATATTCCGTTGAGAAATCCTTGTGAACATTCAAATCCAACGGAACCTTTAAATCGACCACTTTTCCCCTTACTATTATCGTCACCATGGTATTCTTCATTGAACATTTATAAATCTCCAACATAAGGTAAATTCCTATAAATAGCAATGACTTAAATGGAGGGCGCTGTTTAAAAGTTTAAAAAACTCAAGTGCTATGTATTTTCAGGTGCTGAACGTGTCAAGGAACTGTGTCAACCATTTCCCCGAATATTTTGAATACCTGAACGTTCCAGTGGAGGATCGGGTGTATGCGGATATTTCACAGCATTTCAACAAAGCTCTTCAGTTTATCGGTACGTCCACTTTCATTTTCACTCCTACTTTCACTCCTACTTTCTGTTTTTATCTTTACTTTCAGATTCAGCGATCGAATCATTTTCACCTAAGAGATTGGGGGTCGGTTTTTTAAACAAAAATTTTCATTTCTTAAGACTATCGTATGGGGTACTATGGGCAACATTGATCCCGAACCAAGAATCTATCAACTGATAGATCTAGACAGTATCGGCGTGATTGGTATTTACTATTTGGTATTCGAATCTGGTAAATGGGCGTTGAGACTCCTCTATATAGCTGCTACCACTGTACAACATCGTCTATTCATAGCAAAAGTGCATTCCGATCGTTCTGCAGAAATACTTCAAGATTAATGTTGCAACTGATATCGTAGAAATTCGGCCATGTCAAGCGTACTTTTCTGTGATGCTAACTTAGAGGTGTGGCCGGGTCTTCATTAATTCTAAATTTACTGCGCTTACATTAATTAATGACAAGTTATTTTTGTTACAAATATAATAAGTTATTTTTAAGGTGGAAATACCCGGATAATAAATAGTATAGCGAGCTTGAAATAATATTTTCTACAATATTCCAGAACAAATGATGTCACGCTGACTAATTTCCGGGCGCGTAATCCAGTTACAGTCCTTCGTTCATCTTAATCCACCCCATTCTCCACCACACTTAGACAATAATGCGCTCAAAACAATTTAACGGCTCTAATTAACCCGTCAGTGACGGTGTTAACGGTGTTAATTGGATTAGAGCCGAGTTATAAGGCTGTGTGAATGTTGTGGGACTGTAATTGTAAAGTGATAAGTTACACCATGCTTCTAATCTAGAACTTTGTAGCTAGCAGCACCTTTGCTCCTGGCACTAACAGTTGATATGACTGGATTTACCAGTTTTTATATTGTATTTGAGTTAATGATTTGACACACAGATGTTAGGAGTTGGTTAGCAGCTTGCACTTAGTTCACATGGTCATTGGTCAGAGAACAATCAAAACAGCTGTAGATTAAAGGGCTTGAAAAGAATAGTAAATTACTGGTAACAATAGAAAAGCTTCAGTGTCAAGTATAAGCAACTTTTCAATCTATCAAGACCAAATATATGTACGTGCGATATGACCTGGATTCGACCAATCACAAAGTACGTCTGCAAGTGACCACTGGATTTTTATTATTTCGTTCCATCTATTGTAACATTAATCAAAATATGCAGATAGATCTAATTCTAACAAGGTATAACCATTACGTAACAATATCTAAACATTACGACACAACGTCTAAACGTTACGTCACAAGGTCTAAACATTGCGTCACAAGGTCTAACCATTACGTCACATTTCAGAACACGCCCGAAGTGAAGGTTGCAGTGTATTGGTACATTGTAGAGCAGGAATCTCGCGGAGCGCAACTGTTATCATTGCATATTTGATTCAGTACTACGACTACAGTATGGAGGAAGCTTTCGACTTCATCAAGTTAGTAATACTTTTATAATGTTTATTATTTGGTTATTTAATGTGGGTTGATTGGCGAAAATCTCATATGTAATAGCATTAAATAATAAATTGGATAAACAACATATAGTCAATACTATCGTGTGCAAATAAATGAACATCTCTCCTTTCAAGTAAATTAACATCCTCCCTCCCCTCAGAGTAAAACATCCAGTCGTGTCCCCCAACTTCAACTTCATGGGACAACTCCTACAATTCCAGAATCTCCACCGTACCAAGAAGAGTGAGGGAAGTACTCCTGAACTATTCGAGCGTCAGGAGGAGGAAGAGGAGGAGGGCGGGGACAACCCCGCGCTTGCAGACAACCTTGACAGTGGTCTGTTCGCTGATCCTGGAGGAGATGTTCTGGAGGAGTTTCCTGTGTTAGAGTTACAACCAGTCCCCCTCCCCTCCAAACACACGTCTTTCTCTTTCGGAGAGTGACGTCATGAGCTTAGTGACGTCACACTATGACGTCACCATGACGTCATCACCGCGTCTCTTTGTGTGACGTCTTACTAGGATAACTTTCAGTGATGGCCTGTGTTTTTGTGTTGATAACGTGTCATCATTTCATATATATGACTACCCAATCTCCCCAACAAACAGTTGGTAGGAGGTCGGGATTTGTTTGAGGACAATTAGTTGCCGTTGACAAAACAAATAGTGGTCCAAGTGACACTTGGACAAGTTAAAATCTTATATCTTAGTGCGACTAATCGTCCTCGGAGTTTTAAGATTACGTTTCTGTATATAAAATGTACGCTGATGTTTACTAATCTGATATCGCACCGTTAAAAAAATGTTGTTTAATAACCTTTTCAAGTTTTATATTTGACAACCAGAATTTTTGAATATTTTAACGTTTCACGGCTTACAAAACTTCAATCCACAAGCTTTAAAAGATATAACGTTATTTTGATAAGATCCATAAACACTTATTATGATAATCTTAATTTGATCATCACTTTTAAGTGCTTAACATTTTATTTTTATGAAAACATATTTTCACCAAAAACATGTTGACTGCTCATTAACAGGGATAATTAATCGTTTTGTATTTATTTTTATGTGCAAGTATGTGGTCTCGGGAAGGTATGAAGCTGGACGGGGCAGGTAATTTAGGGTGACAACTACCGCTGTGCAGCGACCAATTTGAAATTCAACTATGAAATGCGAGAAAGCATTGAGTTGGCTGATTGCAGGAGTGTACAGAAGCTAGTTCAGGTGTTGTTCAGAGTTCAGTTTCAGCAAGTCTGTCGGACAACTGGTCATCTTTTATTTGAAATATTCACCATAACTTGATTATATCGTGTAGAATCTACACTGTAGATTGCATGATGTTCGGGAGTTGCCTACTCAATGAGTCAAACTATTTTTAAGGACCCTATATTATCTGAGATCTTTAATTTCAACTTTAAAAGATTTCCAGTTTAGATGAAGCTACCGGACACCATAATAACGATAAAAACATTAAATAGACCAGTTTTCCGACAGAGATTGCCTAGCATCACATAGTTAAATTCATTAAAAAAAACCTGAACTCGCTTCTTTTCGCCCTCAAAACTAGTTATTGATGATTTGTCAGGAATGTAATTGTTTAATGGATCTCCAAGATATCTCACTTGATGTATACCCACAAGGATGTCGATGTATAGAGTGTATTTTCAGTTATCATAATCCGTGAGGTATGTAATGACGAGTCAAACATTGTGTTATCTCTCTCAGACTGGAGACAGTGTCATTATATATTGCGATCAACTTTTATTGACCAATTATTTAATACTAATTGATATTTATATTTCATTTTCACAACCTTATTAAACAGCAGTTTTATTTGTTCCAGAGCCAGTAAATTTCGGGATTATGATATAAAACCATCACCTTTCGCAGTTTGCACGTGCGAAAGGTGAGAATTTTGCTCATTCGTGATTTCGAACAAATTTTGCTTTCCCACGACAGTTAAATGGCATTATATTTGAATTTAATGCTAACTTGAATGAGTATAAAGTGGCATATTCAGTCAGTGATCTACAGATATGCGCACCTAAACACAAGGAAATGTTTTCAAAGGTAAAATTTCGAAATCATTGAAATTAGCTCCTGGCCTTATAAATGAAGTTTTGAGTTTACATTTCGACTTTGTGAAGTACCCTGGCATTGTAATCAAAAAAGATGATATTTGACAAAAACCCATAATCACGGGTAGAGTGGACCGCTGCCAGTGTCTCTCTTTCCCAAACAAAAGGAAATGATATTAATTTGAATGACCGTCCGCAAATGCAAAATGATCAATGATACCGAGAATGAAATCGGTCGCTCGTTTTTCCCATTCATTTAAAATTGTAAAAGATTAAGATAAAAACTACCTGAAGGCAACTATACTCGTATCGACCCGAAATATCACTATCAGGTATCGACCCGGCCGGACGGCCGGAGTGCACGCTTCGCGTGCACGAGAGAGGTATACATGATACAACGTGTAGCAAACCCGAACGCAACCCAAAAAGATTTGTACAGCATGTGATTGATGTTAATGTTATAAATTGAAACTTATTTATAAAATTCGTAAGCCGTGAATGAACGGAAAAGTTTCAAAGTATTTCAAGAAGAACTGTAATCACAACGGCACTCTAAAGTTGACAGAAAATGACGAAAACAGCAATTTTCAGTGATTTTAGCAATTTTCTATCAATTTGGGCGTGTCCCCACGTGTGCAACTTTTCGATTTTCAACTTTAAAACTAGCCTAATGCACAATTTATACCTATAGGAAGCAGAACTGAGCTCCACAACCCAAGGCATGGCCCAACACCAGAGAATACTAAATCGCAAAATTGACGTTTTTATAAAATAATTCTTCAAAAAAGCACAAACTTCAATGACGAATATCTTTATGAAGGAGCAAGCTAGAAAAACTTTCCGGTAGATTTTCAGAATGCTTGAACAATTATCTAAGATAAAAATTTCCTCAGATTTTGAATAAAATTACTCCTTAATGGTTTAAAATTAATTTTAAAAGTTATTACTTTGTCAAAAATCAAGTTTTAAAAACGGTCAACTTGATGACGTCATCAAGGGGTGTTTATGACGTCAAATAATTTTTTTATACAATGTAAACTAAAGTGTAAACGATTATTTGCAAGACCTGTGGTCGGAAATGGCTGTATCTTTTATACTTTTGAATCTATGGACACTTAAATACAGGCTACAATTGACTGGCAAAGCGTCTATCCCTGAATATATATGTATGTATATCTGTATGTATATGTCCCGACAATCTGTCGTAAAACAGGGGTTCTAGAAAACCCATTTCCCGATGCTCCTGAAACCTGACATTTTTTTGCAGTCGATTTGGTCAACGCCTAGACGCCCTGAAAAATTTCAGATCTCTAACTCAATTTTAACATGGTTTTTAAGGCACCTGAATATGGCGATTTTGGGTTTTTTACCGAATTTCGTATAACAGTGCTGGCGAGTATTTTATGCAAATTTCTTAAAAATCTCAACATAACTATTTTTTATTCCTGTCATCTTTGACATCAAATTAGAATGTTTTGAACTAAAAACACTACCAAAGGGGGTATAATAGTAAAGGGGGTATGATAGTAAAGGGGGTATAATAGTAAATGGGGAACATAGTATACCCACAATAAATGCAACGGTCGTGCTTGCCAGCACTGTGATATGGAATAATCCGAACTACAGTTACTAGCATGGCTAGCTCTCATCTGACGCCCACGTGTGACTCGATGTAACGCGACGCGTTACATCGAAAATTTCATGCTCCTTAAGTTAAATTGTACTGATCTATTATTTTCTAATGTACAATTAGCAATCTGCACTCTGCAGTTTTAAGTCTGCCTATGTTTATATGCATTCACAATTCACAGTGAAATTGTACTCGTGACATGTTCATGTTGTAAACTTTACAGTGTTTTCGCTGCTTTATTTCTCAGTCCCCACATTGTAGATGATCATGCGACATGCACCAGGTATTATAATATCGCATTTGTTAGCATTACATTGCTGACAGTTGAGTGAGTTGACTGCCCGAACTTATCAATTTGTCTCAACTTTTATTTGATAGCAGATAATACCATAACAATATACCAACATCATTTGTTGAAGTTAAGTCTAAATTACCCAAATTAAGTACATATGATCATATTCATATTTCATAGACCTCAATTTAGTTGGCCTTGATTTCACGGCTCACGCCGGCGTACGCCGCCGCCGCCGGTGTTATTTTAGTGAAACGCCGCCGCTGATCCATTTAGCCACGGCGGACAAGCCTGATGCTTATTGCTTAAAGCATCAGTGAATTCTAGCTTTTATATGGAAACCTTTTTTTATCAAACTACCCCGGTCCTGCATTTCAGTGTTAACTTTTACAAGCCATTCGGCGTGAAGTGGTTTTATCTTAGACAACTTAAAGTTAACCTTAACATCACGTGGAGCTTTCCCAGCACTTATCTGTTTCATTTATACCTCCCCTGAGTATGAGCTATAACAACGTCGGACAATGTCTTTGGCAACACGATTTACCGTAATATCTAGAGGCTGGAACAAGTTTGTCATGTTGACGGGGACTAGTTCATGAACTATGTTGTTGAGTGCCATAATTTCGTTGACTTTTTTCCGCCAAGTGACCCTTGAAAACATCATATATATACTAGTAAAGTTTTCTGTGCCTCCGGCAGACCAAGGAGAACCTTTCCGTCGTTAACTTACGGCACAATAAAGTTCTCAAAGTTGTCATATTCTGGACAAAAAGTTCGAAATGGAAAAATTTTTGAAAAATTTCAACGGACTTTAACTTGGACGGACATTAATTGAACGGACTTTATTTGAACGGACATTAAGATGAACGCTAGGGCCTCCAGCGTTCAAGTAATGTCCGTCCAAATAAGGTCCGATAAGGTAGTTATTGATGATTTGTCAGGAATGTAATTGTTTAATGGATCTCCTAGATATCTCACTTCATGTATACCCACAAGGATGTCGATGTATAGAGTGTATTTTCAGTTATCATAATCCGTGAGGTATGTAATGACGAGTCAAAAATTGCGCTATCTCTCTCAGACTGGAGACAGTGTCATTATATATTGGCATTGCGATCAATTTTTATTGACCAATTATTTAATACTTATTGATATTTGTATTTAATTTTCACAACCTTATTGAACAGCAATTTTTTTTGTTCCAGAGCCAGTAAATTTCGGGATTAAGATACAAAACCATTTATGAGCCAAAAATCGAGAAACCGAATAAAAATTAAATGAGGTTACGAAAGATCAAAAGATTTTCTTGTTGTTTTAAAAAAAGATTGGAAATTATGGACACGATGGATTTAATTCAAAGCAAATGGATTTCCTCAATTACACGCTATCGAAATCTCTTTGGGTTGCTTTGGGATGCTTTCAAGTACAACGTACAATCAATCATACATCGACCATTGTGACTGAATGGGAAAATTGAGCGATCGATTTTTTCTGGATGATGATTAATCACTCTACACTCGACTGTCACGTGACTTTTTAAACAAGTTCTCTTGGTGACCCTGAATGACTATTCGAAATCCTAGCCCTCTAATCTGATCCCAACCTTAACCCTAACCCAATCTCTGACAAAAGCATATGCTGAAACCTTGATTCACGATGTCAATCCTTCGCATCTCGCCGATCTGCATACGAGTGGTTGCGAGAAGCATTATTGGATGCGCGCGCGCGACCCAGTAGTGCATCGCGCTACAAGCTGAAACCCTAACCCTAACGAGAAATTAGACCAACTTGATCCTTATATGGTAATTTCACGTGATCGAGACAGTTTTTCGCCAACATTTCGCGCGCCAGGGGAATCAGCGTCCGAAAATACATCAATTCAAGTTGGTCTCAACTGTCGGCCCCTTTTAGAAAAATCTCGCGTCGAAGATCGGCTGTAAAGTGATTTATATTATTTGACCAAAACCCATAATCATGGGATTGTGTAGAGTGGACCGCTGCCAGTGTCTCTCTTTCCCAAAAAAAAGTAAATGATGTTAATTTGAATGACCGTCTGCAAATGCAAAATGATACCAAGAATGAAATCGGTCATCGGTCGGTCGCTTTTTCCATTCGAAAAACTCATTTTCAAAAATAAAATGCTATGCTAATTAGTATCAACGCTATGCTTGATAATGACCATACAATCGCTAATTGGAACGAAAGAATTGAAAACAATATAGTTTTAGTTGATGTGTTTTAGTATGGTATATTTATATCAATATGTATATAGTAAGTGTTTGCACAATTTACATCATGTTCACAGTGGGTAAAACTAAAAGTAGATGAGTATTAAGTATGCAGTAAAATTTGTAGGACTATTACGAGTGCATTGTAATCATTCTTTGTAATTTGTAATTGTTTTCAACTGTTGTTTACCTGGAGACCCAGGCTATAATGTTCATAGAATAAGAGATAATTCGGCGGAATGACAGGCTGAGTGCCGCCCAGTACACAGTAAACTGTTGTCTGTTACTGAGCCTGTCATTCCGCCTAATCTCTATTCGGTGTTTATATGCATGATAGCATGTTTATGAACATGACAGGCTGAGCGCCGCCCAGTAAACTGTTGTCTGTTGTATGATTTTAAAGTACTGAAGTTATACACATATATTGGTCGATTTAAACGCAATATCTTTATTTTTTTAAAGAATTCGTCACAACAAATGCAATAGATTTGTAGTGTTGTAATTAGTTTGTAATGTTGTATCATTCTATGCGTAATAATGACTGTGAAGGTCATTATTTTGAATTGTTCTTAGTTCTAAATTTAATTGATTTGATCGTATACTGTGAATAACAAAATGAAACACATACATTTTTTGTTTTTAATGCATTAGATTCTGCGGATTTTCCATCAAGCTTCCCGAAAAATAATTCAGACTATTTGCTAAAAATCATGCTGAAAAATAAAGGTTCCCGAAATTCACAATTTTTGCCCGAGAAACAATGGATATTCAACGCATCAATGTCAAGAAACTTCATGTCTGTTGCTTTAAGATAAAAAGTTCCAAAACATTATTCCCCTCTAGCTGTACTGTCCCTCTAGTGGTGATCTTTGAGATGCTGGATGAGAGGGTCGTCTATTTTGTGGCCGAGAAATTCTTCAAGAATCATCTTCTTCAGAATGTCATCGTCCACAACCTGGGATATGAAAAGTTACAATTTATGAAATTATACCCTCATTAAACATCACCAGTAATTTATAACGCAGTTTTATGTTTAAAATGGTTTATCATCGTCGCAAGTGTCAAGAAGATTAGTAAGTTATGAAGTTAGAAATAGAATACCGGCAGCTAAAAATTAACCACTATCGAATTATCAATTTCAGTTCATTATCTTTGAGTTTCTTAGTCAGGCAATTCAACAATATTACCATTTCTAACCTTATTGTAAAAGTCTGTGAAGTAGAGCACATTCCAGTGATCACCAGAGCATATAATCGGCACTTCAGTGATCGTTCCGTGCCTCTCAGTAGCGTAGAGGATGGTCTCCCACCACAAGAGAATCCTCGAAGTCTGAGCACATTCCCGATGAGAACATTTTTCCTACTTCCTCAGCTTCCAGTTGCCTCTTGTAGACGTTTAGTTTTAGGAGTTCACCTCCAAACACGTGGTTGTGGAATGAAGCCTCCATTGTTGCTGTCTTGTGGTACTGTCCTATAGCTATTGTTCCTCCCATGGTCAGTTTTACGTTACCAGACGCTTCCTGTGCTATTGCCTGCCCATCAAAATATAGTACCCTGGTCTTAGTCTCATACCCCCAAGTTATGCAGACGTGGTGCCATTCATTTGAAGGAACGGCCTGGTTGTTAGCTATATGATCTTTGTTCATGATAGCCCAGCCGCATATCTTGCCTGCAATTAAGATTTCATTAATCTTGGAAGGTGCATTGTACGTGAACCAGGCATCATGGACACTATCAGCTGTTTTCTTGTTGATCCATGAACAGACCGAAATGGCTTCCTTTACCGGTTCCATGTCCAGTTGCAGCATCATGTAGCTCTGGAGATCGTTGCCAAAGCTCAGAGCAGTGGCGGGACCGTGAGCCGTGGACTGCTCCACGGAGTAGGCCAGGATCAGGAGTGTTAGATAAAATAGAAACATTCGGGCAGAGTCGAGAAGCGAGAATGTCGAGAATGAGATGGTCTCCTGGCTATAAGGAGACGTCTCCAGTCTCGTCAGCGTCACAGGGCGTCCGCTTACGTGCCTCATTGGATTTGCAGAGTCAGGGCTTCATTTAGGATCTTAGGATGAAAACAAAAACTTTTTGGCTAACTTTCGATCCCGTCAACATCAAATCTCGACACTCATTATATTCTCAAATTCTTTTGTAGTTGTTTTGTAGTTGTATTGTTCACCAAAACGTTTCAGTTTACCTATCGCTCATAATTTAAAACATTTTTCATATTAAGCATGATAAAATTGAAATGTACGGTAATATTTCAACATGTTCTAGCTAATTCTTTAGCGCCTACGATCCAATTTACAATGACTAGCCTTTTCATGATAGTTATTCCAGAGAAATAATTACCTGAGGTGTGGGCAGTACCAGTAGTAATAGTAACCTAAACCATTTTGATAGAGTAAACTATAGATTGAAGAACTGTTGATAATTTAAACTTAAGATAATTTACCAGAGTTGGTATATTAAATTTGCTCTTTATCTGTATCACTAAACACTCAAAAGTTTATTACTAATCTAGTATGCTAGGGTGTAGTTAAATTGGGTGAATTCAGGTTCATTAAACAACCACTTTAATAAATTATCATGGATCAAAAATCTTATACACATTCATTCAAACATGAATCACAATATTATTGTAACATGTAACGATACATACAATATATTCCCGCCACCTCTAACTAAAGTGTTACACCACCCGATCTATTATATCTGGATATCTACGAGCAGTAACAGAAAATAATACTGTATATTAAAATTGTCTCTACAAACAATTACCATCAGATTGACTTCTGAATTAACCAGTTCTACTTCTAACCTGGGTCCACCACCAGATGTCATCTCTAAAAGTTTGGATTACCGCGATCATTACTGACCGATCATGTTACTCCATCTACGAGCAGTAACAGAAAATATCCTAAAATTGTCTCTATTTAACCACGGTGTTCTTATGCTCACCGATCCAATACTTCAGTCCAATTACTAAAACATACATAGTTTAACAACTGCAACCTTGGTAGTGAGTCCCATTGTTCAATCAACAACTCAAAAGTCACCAACCATGTCACTCTGTAGCTGCACTCAGCTTAGACGTAGCTCTGTTGGCATTTGTCCATCGTACTCAAGATGCGTTGCAGTTGTCAGCTATCCACCATCCCACATCATACCACCAAACATCGCATCATGTCATGAAGAGTGAAGAACAGGAGACTATTGCTTGTTAATGAACATTGGTTAGATAAAATAACGAACACATATATCATAACATATCTTGGAATAGTCAATCTTCAATCAAGTATCAATATCAGTAAATATCAGATATTATGTAAACTCAATATAGGGGTAGGGGTATATATCAACCGCCAGGGGGTACGGTGGGGGCGTGCAACGTTACGCCACTGTCTATGACCACCTTGCTTTGACTAAACGACAACTGAATCCCGTGTTGCTGTTCCTAGACTATACTTGTAGCTTTTCTGGATTTGGTCTATGGATTAGTCCTCGGTCCTCGCTACCATGGCTTTATAGAACTGGTAGTAGAACTGGTAATGAGGACTAATCTTTAGAACAAATCCAGGTAGAACTATAGAAGACAGTATAAAGTACCATTTAATTATATAACTGCAATAATATAATGTTAAATTATAATTTAACATTATAATATTGCAGTTATATAATTAAATTGTACTTTATACTGTCTTCTATAGTTCTATCGTAGTTGAATTCGGTTATCATAAAATGATAAAGATGGACATTCCCCGACTCTACAGGCAACGTTACACTTACTTCACTGAAATCTTTTCGTTTTTCTTAGATTATAGCTGTTCTGGATTTGTTCCAAAGATTAATCCTCCTCACTACCAGTTCTAATTTGTATAACTATGTATATTAAACAGTAACTGTTCTATTGTCTACATAAATATAATTTGTATAATTTCAGACTTATTTGGAGGACTTCGCCGCTTCGACGCGCCGCGCAAACTAGCATTCTTGCTTCGCATCGAAGTCGACGATCGTTGCTCTGCTTCGCAGAGCAACGATCTCGACGGATTGACATCGTCAATCAACAGACTTATAGGATTAGGAGCTGACTTGTGCTCATGCGGAAACACGTTTGTACTGTGTCTAGTGGATATTCAGATTAATGTACCTAATTAGTGTGTTACTGTTAGTGTTAGCAGTGCCAGTTATATACAAATAAACCATCATAGTCATTGTCATACGTTGTATCATGTATGACCCGCCGCGCACGAAGTGCGCGGCTCCCCCTGTATCGTCACCATAGTGAAACGACCGTGTGGGTCGCAACGTGATACAACATAGTCATACTTCACAGTATAAATATTCTCAGTAATCAAGTGACGAGGGTGTTGTAGATTTAACAATGTAATGTTGCAGTTATAATTATATATATTTGACCAAAACTCATATATTATTATTTGGGTCGAGTGGACCGCTGCCGGCTGCCAGTGTCTCTAGCTCTTTCCCAAACAAAATGAAAAGGATTAAGGAAATGATCATATTAATTTGAATGACAGTTCTCATTTCTCAAATGCAAAATGATACCGAGAATAAAATCGGTCGCTCACTTTTCCCGTTCATTCACGGCTTACGAATTTTATAAATAAGTTTCAATTTATAACATTAACATCAATCACATGCTGTACAAATCTTTTTGGGTTGCGTTCGGGTTTGCTACACGTTGTATCATGTAAACCTCTCTGGTATGGTGCACGCCGTGCACTCCGGCCGTCCGGCCGGGTCGATACTTGACCATTGTTAATGGTCTGACCCGGCGCGCGCTACTTCGTAGCACTTGCCATCGGGCCATTTCGAGAAGAAAGCGGCGCGCGCTACTTCGAAGAAATTTAGACGAGTAACATCCGTCAAGGTCGATACCTGATATTTCGGGTCGATACGAGTATAGTTGCCTTCAGGTAGTTTTTATCTTAATATATTACAATTTTAAATGAATGGGAAAAACGAGCGACCGATTTCATTCTCGGTGTCATTGATCATTTTGCATTTGCGGACGGTCATTCAAATTAATATCATTTCCTTTGTTTGGGAAAGAGAGACACTGGCAGCGGTCCACTCTACCCATGATTATGGGTTTTTGTCAAATATCATCTTTTTTTTATTACAATGCCAGGGTACTTTACAAAGTCGAAATGTAAACTCATAACTTCATTTATAAGGCCAGGAGCTAATTTCTATGATTTCGAAATTTTACCTTTGAAAACATTTCCTTGTGTTTAGGTGCGCATATCTGTAGATCACTGACTGAATATGCCACTTTATACTCATTCAAGTTAGCATCAAATTCAAATATAATGCCATTTAACTGTCGTGGGAAAGCAAAATTTGTTCGAAATCATGAATGAGCAAAATTCTCACCTTTCGCACGTGCAAACTGCGAAAGGTGATGGTTTTATATCATAATCCCGAAATTTACTGGCTCTGGAACAAATAAAACTGCTGTTTAATAAGGTTGTGAAAATGAAATATAAATATCAATTAGTATTAAATAATTGGTCAATAAAAGTTGATCGCAATATATAATGACACTGTCTCCAGTCTGAGAGAGATAACACAATGTTTGACTCGTCATTACATACCTCACGGATTATGATAACTGAAAATACACTCTATACATCGACATCCTTGTGGGTATACATCAAGTGAGATATCTAGGAGATCCATTAAACAATTACATTCCTGACAAATCATCAATAACTAGTTTTGAGGGCGAAAAGAAGCGAGTTCAGGTTTTTTTCAATGAATTTAACTATGTGATGCTTGGCAATCTCTGTCGGAAAACTGGTCCATTTAATGTTTTTATCGTTATTATGGTGTCCGGTAGCTTCATCTAAACTGGAAAACTTTTAAAGTTGAAATTAAAGATCTCAGATAATATATGGTCCTTAAAAATAGTTTGACTTATTGAGTAGGCAACTCCCGAACATCATGCAATTAACACGATATAATCAAGTTACGGTGAATATTTCAAATAAAAGGTGACCAGTTGTCCGACAGACTTGCTGAAACTGAACTCTGAACAACACCTGAACTAGCTTCTGTACACTCCTATAATCAGCCAACTCAATGCTTTCTCGCATTTCATAGTTGAATTTCAAATTGGTCGCTGCACAGCGGTAGTTGTCACCCTAAATTACCTGCCCCGTCCAGCTTCATACCTTCCCGAGACCACATACTTGCACATAAAAATAAATACAAAACGATTAATTATCCCTGTTAATGAGCAGTCAACATGTTTTTGGTGAAAATATGTTTTCATGAAAATAAAATGTTAAGCACTTAAAAGTGATGATCAAATTAAGATTATCATAATAAGTGTTTATGGATCTTATCAAAATAACGTTATATCTTTTAAAGCTTGTGGATTGAAGTTTTGTAAGCCGTGAAACGTTAAAATATTCAAAAATTCTGGTTGTCAAATATAAAACTTGAAAAGGTTATTAAACAACATTTTTTTTAACGGTGCGATATCAGATTAGTAAACATCAGCGTACATTTTATATACAGAAACGTAACCTTAAAACTCCGAGGACGATTAGTCGCACTAAGATATAAGATTTTAACTTGTCCAAGTGTCAATTGGACCACTATTTGTTTTGTCAACGGCAACTAATTGTCCTCAAACAAATCCCGACCTCCTACCAACTGTTTGTTGGGGAGATTGGGTAGTCATATATATGAAATGATGACACGTTATCAACACAAAAAAACAGGCCATCACTGAACGTTATCCTAGTAAGACGTCACACAAAGAGACGCGGTGATGACGTCATGGTGACGTCATAGTGTGACGTCACTAAGCTCATGACGTCACTCTCCGAAAGAGAAAGACGTGTGTTTGGAGGGGAGGGGGACTGGTTGTAACTCTAACACAGGAAACTCCTCCAGAACATCTCCTCCAGGATCAGCGAACAGACCACTGTCAAGGTTGTCTGCAAGCGCGGGGTTGTCCCCGCCCTCCTCCTCTTCCTCCTCCTGACGCTCGAACAGTTCAGGGGTACTTCCCTCACTCTTCTTGGTACGGTGGAGATTCTGGAATTGTAGGAGTTGTCCCATGAAGTTGAAGTTGGGGGACACGACTGGGTGTTTAACTCTGAGGGGAGGGAGGATGTTAATTTATTTGAAAGGAGAGATGTTAATTTATTTGCACACGATAGTATTGACTATATGTTGTTTATCCAATTTATTATTTAATGCTATTACATATGAGATTTTCGCCAATCAACCCACATTAAATAACCGAATAATAAACATTATTAAAACGCAGAAGTATTACTAACTTGATGAAGTCGAAAGCTTCCTCCATACTGTAGTCGTAGTACTGAATCAAATATGCGATGATAACAGTTGCGCTCCGCGAGATCCCTGCTCTACAATGTACCAATACACTGCAACCTTCACTTCGGGCGTGTTCTGAAATGTGACGTAATGGTTAGACCTTGTGACGTAATGTTTAAACCTTGTGACGTAACATTTAGACGTTGTGTCGTTATGTTTAGATATTGTGACGTAATGGTTATACCTTGTTAGAATTAGATCTATCTGCATATTTTGATTAATGTTACAATAGATGGAACGAAATAATAAAAATCCAGTGGTCACTTGCAGACGTACTTTGTGATTGGTCGAATCCAGGTCATATCGCACGTACATATATTTGGTCTTGATAGATTAAAAAGTTGCTTATACTTGACACTGAAGCTTTTCTATTGTTACCAGTAATTTACTATTCTTTTCAAGCCCTTTAATCTACAGCTGTTTTGATTGTTCTCTGACCAATGACCATGTGAACTAAGTGCAAGCTGCTAACTATCTCCTAACATCTGTGTGTCAAATCATTAACTCAAATACAATATAAAAACTGGTAAATCCAGTCATATCAACTGTTAGTGCCAGGAGCAAAGGTGCTGCTAGCTACAAAGTTCTAGATTAGAAGCATGGTGTAACTTATCACTTTACAATTACAGTCCCACAACATTCACACAGCCTTATAACTCGGCTCTAATCCAATTAACACCGTTAACACCGTTAACACCGTCACTGACGGGTTAATTAGAGCCGTTAAATTGTTTTGAGCGCATTATTGTCTAAGTGTGGTGGAGAATGGGGTGGATTAAGATGAACGAAGGACTGTAACTGGATTACGCGCCCGGAAATTAGTCAGCGTGACATCATTTGTTCTGGAATATTGTAGAAAATATTATTTCAAGCTCGCTATACTATTTATTATCCGGGTATTTCCACCTTAAAAATAACTTATTATATTTGTAACAAAAATAACTTGTCATTAATTAATGTAAGCGCAGTAAATTTAGAATTAATGAAGACCCGGCCACACCTCTAAGTTAGCATCACAGAAAAGTACGCTTGACATGGCCGAATTTCTACGATATCAGTTGCAACATTAATCTTGAAGTATTTCTGCAGAACGATCGGAATGCACTTTTGCTATGAATAGACGATGTTGTACAGTGGTAGCAGCTATATAGAGGAGTCTCAACGCCCATTTACCAGATTCGAATACCAAATAGTAAATACCAATCACGCCGATACTGTCTAGATCTATCAGTTGATAGATTCTTGGTTCGGGATCAATGTTGCCCATAGTACCCCATACGACAGTCTTAAGAAATAAAAATGTTTGTTTATAAAAAAGCGACCCCCGAGTCCCGAATCTCTTAGATGAAAATGATTCGATCGCTGAAACTGAAAGTAAAGATAAAAACCGAAAGTAGGAGTGAAAGTAGGAGTGAAAGTGAAAGTGGACGTACCGATAAACTGGAGAGCTTTGTTGAAATGCTGTGAAATATCCGCATACACCCGATCCTCCACTGGAACGTTCAGGTATTCAAAATATTCGGGGAAATGGTTGACACAGTTCCTTGACACGTTCAGCACCTGAAAATACATAACACTTGAGTTTTTTAAACTTTTAAACAGCGCCCTCCATTTAAGTCATTGCTATTTATAGGAATTTACCTTATGTTGGAGATTTATAAATGTTCAATGAAGAATACCATGGTGACGATAATAGCAAATAAAGGTACAAAAGTAACTATTTGCGTTCACCAGACACACACACAGTTATAATAAAGGTATTCCTGTAGCAAGAGTATTTGTGTTATAACAGCTTAATATATAAATATATTAAGCTGTATCATAATTGTCTATATCGGGTAGGCCACAACACATTCCAGTAGCAACTTGTGAGGAATTCAGTGTTAAATTTTAGGATACGTAATATTATCTAACGTCCATATTTTGGCAGGTATGTTTTCTTGAAAAAAATGTTGTTTTCTTGATATAAAGAGGCAACAGTAATCTCATGATAATGTCTTCCCTCAGCAAGTATCGTACTTGACACGTGCATAACTTAAACAAGTGCCCAGAAAAGAATTCGCTAGACAAGAACCCAGTCAAGTCTGTCTGCCTACACCTTGCAGCTAGCGTTTAAAATAGCGTTTTCAGCAGACTGAATATGCACTGGATATGTACTGAATATGCACTGAATATGCAATGAATATGCAATGAATATACAATGAATATTTGCATGACTTTTACGCGTCTTAGTTTCGGGATAGCCGTCGTGGGTAAACAAATTTAAGGTTGATGTTACACAGCATGCCTAAGGCATCTTGTCTACTGAGGAAACCGTAAATAAGACAGGGGGAGACAAGGGCACGAGTGATGCACTGGAAAAGAGACAGTGACTTAAAAGAAACGTGAGTGAGATGGGTTAAATCACAGAGTCGGAGGAAAGGAGCAGTAAGAAGCTGTGTTTCACTGAGAGGATCAGATTTAGACGCCTAACTTAACACTTTCTTCTTGTTTGATGATAGTTTGAGATCAGTACACAGCAGCGAGCTGGAATTTTACACTTTCACTTTCATTATCAAACCCTTCACGGCACCATATAAAACTATTTGTGAAGCTTGTCGCGAATTTCTCTCTCAAAGAAGACCCCTCCTTACACAGGGTTATATAGCGTGTTCCCCTCATTAACTACACTACAAGCTGTGAGGCTGTCTAACTAGCGTGTAAGGCAGCAAGAGAACACTAACTTCTCCTCTGTCTGGTAAAATTTACTGCTTAACTCCTGCCTTTCAACGCTCTAATATCACCACACATTGACAGTGCTGTATAACAGACGTGACTACCTTTATCAGGACGCACATTATACTGCAGGCCACAACATTATACTACACGACATTGTGGCCACGATATTACGGTTTATTATCACGACCGTATATATCTCGCGGCACTAGAAGGGTATGATCAAGAAAGAATTCGGTGATAAAAGGGAGTAGGTAATGCATTAACCCATTAGGGACGACGAGTTTTAAAGTTTGCCGATTTTGATGCCGTTTAACACACTAGGTCACTTTACAGCAAAAATGAGATATCCAAAAAAGCTAATCTGTATCTCGTTTACTTTAAAAGATACAGCTATGGTCGCATACGACCCACTCGTCCGGGTCGCAAACGACCCATCACTGTTTTTCGGCTTTAACTTCTGAAACAAAGACGTTAGGATAAAATAAAAACTGTAGCATAAGTTAAAAATATAAGGTCAATACTGTGTGACTCTAACTTTAAAAAAATAGAGAATTCGGGTCATTAACGACCCACTCGGCTCACTTGCTTATCACTACATATGTCCATGTAACTTCTTGAATTCAGCCTAAAACATGACATCATAAGTGCAAACTTGCCTCTCAGCAAGTGATTATCATAATAAACTGCGAAAAATCGGTTAAATGGGTCATTAGCGACCCACTAGGATCACAAAATTGATTAATTAAATATAATGGTGTCAAACTTTTATAAATATTAGTATAAAAACATGTTATATCTTGGTCATTACTCCTGTACGTTGATTTAACTTCTTAAATCGATCAACTGGGTCAATAACGACACACTCGGAAGTTGAACCACGTCATTAATTATCATGCTATTCCACCATCAAGAAAGACACTCGTAGGTCTTAACTCCACGCAAACCACGGGTGGATGACCACTAGCCCTCATGAGATCTGGAGTCTCAAGGTGATCTGCAGATCACGTCACCCAATCACTGACGAATAATGAGCAGAATTGGATTGATAGGTAGGTGAGTTTATCAGCTGTTAGTACACGACCGTAATGTCGTGAGACGACAAACAACGTGCCTATCTTTTCCCGATTCCTAAAAAGTCCAAGAAGAACTATATACAACTGCTGGATTCAGATTTCAGATGGCTGCTTCTACTCATTTCGCAGCCTCCTTTCTTTACTTCTTAGAGGCCGTTCACATATTACGTAATCACTTATTGGACAATTTTTACCCCCCGGCCCACCCCACTACATAGCTATTATGTCAAAATTACACTAGCGTAATCATTTGGAAATCCCTCTCCCTCTCGGCCGATTACGTAATACTTGGTTTCGTTTTGAAAGCTGCCTCGTTGTTGCGGGGTTGTTACCCAAAACGGAGTAGTTGTCTGAGAGATTGCAGGTTGCAGCACCGCCAGCCAGATGGGGGGGGGGGGGGGGTGCTTTTTCCTTGTCCTTCTTCACAGAGCTGTAGATGTAGCCATCTGAATGCAGCAGTTGTTTAGTTATTCTCGTACTTTCTAGGAATGTCAAACAGATTGGCATGTTGGATTAGAATAATATGTAATTTGACCGCTCTTCTTTCAATATTTACCCGAGGTTACAGGATATCTCGTATACTTCGTTCAGGGTATTTTTTTTGAGTGACATGATCTGATCACCGTGGGACCCTGGGTCTCAAGCGGTTGTAGCAGGTCGGAAAAAGTAACAGAATCTAATAAGCAACAACAACAGTATGGCTATTACCTAGCAAGTTAGGAACGAGGGCCGATCTCCTTTTCTTTTGCGACACGGCCACGGTCCTTTCGGTACAGATTTCCACGGCCCACGCACCATAGTCAGGACGCAACTCCAGGCATATGCAGTCTTGTTATTCTCGCAGCTTTTTGATGAGTGATGACTTACTGCCCTTCAGTTGGCCCTGGATCTCAGGAGGGCTAGTTGTCAGCCACCGTGGTTTGTGTGGAATTAAGACCTACGAGTGTCTTTCTTGATGGTGGAATAGCATGATAATTAATGACGTGGTTCAACTTCCGAGTGTGTCGTTATTGACCCAGTTGATCGAATTAAGAAGTTAAATCAACGTACAGGAGTAATGACCAAGATATAGCATGTTTTTAAACTAGTATTCGTAAAAGTTTCACAACATTGTATTTAATTTATCAATTTTGTGGTCCTAGTGGGTCGCTAATGACCCATTTAACCGATTTTTCGCAGTTTATGATGATAATCACTTGCTGAGAGGCGAGTTTGCACTTATGATGTCATGTTTTAGGCTGAATTCAAGAAGTTACATGGACATATGCAGTAATAAGCAAGTGAGCCGAGTGGGTCGTTAATGACCCAAATTCTTTATTTCTAAAAAGTTAGAGTCACACAGTATTGGTCATATGTTTTTAACTTATGCTACAGTTTTTATTTTATCTTAACGTCTTTGTTTCAGAAGTTAAAGCCGAAAAACCGTGATGGGTCGTTTGCGACCCGGACGAGTGGGTCGTATGCGACCGCAGTTAGTAAACAGCGTCTAGATCTGTTTGTGAACATTTGATTATCACGGGCTTTTCATTTGTCTCAAGGAAATCGTTGCCCGCAACTATTTTATTCTAAAAAAATAAGCCTACATAAAGTTTAAATGTCCCAATCAAGGCAAGAAGTTAAGTGAAATATTTTCCAATTATGACGACTAATTAGTCTAATTATTTAATTGTTAGTGATTAATTGGGTCTCGACTGGAAAGTCAATAATGTAGCCCAATAAATTTTGAGCATATGTGCGAAAGATTCGTGGCGTTTAGTATTTTGGTTTGTCCTCTATAGCCTCTAGAAAAGGTGAGTCGTAAACGACCCTATCGTCCCTAATGGGTTAAGAGTACTTAAGGCCAGTATTATCAGGATTTCTATACATTATCTTCAGTTATCTATATTTTCACTCGTTATAGTGGTTTTGAGTTCTGAGGAATCTATGAAGTCATCTTATAACATTATAAGAATAATGTCTGATTCAGGTGGGATAAAATGGTAAGCTAGCCGTGATTCGAGGGTGTCTAACTGGTAAATTTGTAAACCAAGAGAGTGCTGTCTGATACCTAATAAGGTGGTATTCAAGGTGGATTTGTTGATGAGATTAGAGTGGGCGTTATACACATATTATAGATATTAGTTTCTTGCTGAACTGAGACAGAACTATCAAGTAAGGTTAAATTACTGTTAATGCAGCTCCTTTTTTGGTGTTAAAATCACCGTCCATTATTATTGGTCGCCTGTAAGGATTAAGTAGTTGTGTACCATGGTGGACCAGCGAGACATTGTCATTTAAGGTTGCGCAATCCTTGAATTTGGAGCAACGGAAAACTGGGGTAGTCAGCAATGAAGTTAACGGAAGATTGAAGAGAATGTTGTTCTGCGCCATGGGGGTGATTACAAATTGAATGTTTCAAAATCAAAGCTTGTAAGCACAATCCTACCGCAGATTAGTGACCGTTAAGCTCTTTCAGAGATTAGATCAGACTGTAAAATTACCCTAACTTCTCACACTGCAAAACCGCCACTGTGGCTTCTTCTAACGGTGGTCCCCAGAGACTCCGTGACCACTACAATCTACATGTATCAATCCTTTATTACCAGGGTGTGTTTTGATTTATTAACAGGTAGGGAGGGAGGGGTGTGTTTTGATTTATTAACAGGTACTGCATTCTCAGACTAGGATCACTGCACATTACAGAAAAAATTTGTTATTCTCAACGAATTCAGCACTTTCCAATTAATCACTAGTTCAATGACCACTATACAACTCTAAGATCGCCATTCTCTACTACTTCATATTAGGGGTTTGCTCAAGAAAGGAAGGGAGATTAATGATATCTTCCAAACTATGTGGCATTAACACACGGTTACAGCAGACACTAATCTAACAACTGCGTAACCTGTGTCTACGAAACTTTGAAACTGCATTAATATCCAACTCTTAACGGTGTCTACCAAGCTTGGAGATTACTTTAACATTGCAGTTATGTGAGCTGATACTTGATAGGAAGCTTGACCAGACCACTAGCGGTTTAAGCAACCCATTTAGTCCTCTTAATGAGTTTTAGTAAAGTGTTTGAACTAAAAGCTTGATACTGTTTAACAGTGTTTTGCAGGGGCTCTCGTGAGAAAGGAAGACTAACCACAATCACAAGGGGATCACGGTAAATACTAAATCGGGGATCACGGTGAGTATAAGTTGGCTGGTAAGTATACATTCCACACCATTCAAGTTTACACAGTCTGCGATAAGGGCGTTTTCCATTTCGAGTACAATTTCTTAATTAGCCGATAACATTACGGGCCGTGGGAAGGGGCTAAACATTAGGTCTGTATTAGTTTGCAGCCACCACGCCCACAAGCCTAGCATTACGCACGTGACCTTAACACCAGTCACGTGACCTTAAAACCAGTCACGTGTGGAGACTAAGATCACCGAACAATATTACATCTTCTCCCCCCTTTAAATCGTGCCAACGCACGCCACTTAGGAGTTAAAGTTACAAACCTATAACCACTCAATTAATTAACTAATTACCTTGGAGACGCCGAGTTTTCTGAGTAGAGTCAAGTCGGCAGAGTCTCTCTCGTTACCAAGGTACAGAAAGGGGATTATCTCTGCGGGTTTACTGGCTCCTGCAATGTTTTAGTGTTAAAATAACGCTCATCATCTCGTGTTATAGCGGGTACGGGTTATGTAATTGTAAGTATAACTGGTACGGATATTATGCTGCAAATATTCTTCGTCTTCGTAGGGGGCTGTGGGCATTATCACTAATGGAAAGATCGTGACCACTGTAAGATAGAGCATTGGAGCCCTGTGCTTACCCCGGTAAAAATTAATGCAAATATTATTTTTGGTTCGTTTAATCACTCTCTCTAGAGACACACTTCCTCTACGTTTTTAAGGTGATGCGTCAATAAATTACCAGTCTCCACGACACAGCAATACTAATAATAATTGTAGTAGTGACATTAATCACACAACAATACCCTGGTTAATCATTGGTAACCAGGTCCACTGTCCGGTCACATATACACCAAGCATACGTAACCATGGTAACGTAGTAACGAATACGTAACCAGTAACCTGATAACATATCACGTCGGACCTTTACTGATAGTTGAAATTCGACATATGACGTCATCTAGCGTCATCTAGCGTCATCTAGCGTCAAATATCGCCAGATGATGATAGATGACGCTAGATGACGCTAGATGACGCTAGATGACGCCAATTAGCGACATTGTCGCTAAGTGCACGGCACCTTTCGAATGTCGCTATCTAGCGCTATCTAGCGCTATCTAGCGCTATCTAGCGCTATATGACGCTATATGACGCTATATGACGCTAGATGACGCTAGATGACGCTAGATGACGCTAAGCACGCAGCACTGACGCCAGGCGACAGATAGCGCTATTTTCATAAAATTTCCGCCCTTTTTTTTGCGACATCTAGCGGTATCTAGCGCTATCTAACGCTATATGTCGCAACGACATCTGACGCAGCGCTATCTAGCGCTATCTAGCGCTATCTGGCGCTATCTAGCGGAGAATGTCGGTTTGTGACAGTTTACGCTAGATAGCGCTATCTAGCGCTATCTAGCGCTAGATATCGCGGCGACAGCTAGCGCTAGATAGCGCTATCTAGCGTAAACTGTCACAAACCGACATTCTCCGCTAGATAACGCTTGTTAGCGCTAGATAGCGCTATCTAGCGGAGAATATCGGTTTGTGACAGTTAACGCTAGATAGCGCTAGATAGCGCTAGATAGCGCTAGATATCGCGGCGACAGCTATAGCTATGGCTATAGTTGTTAAACGTTAAATATCTAACGTTGGTTATAAGTTTTATTTTTAACGTTGCAAAACGTTTATTATTTGACGTCAGATCAAGGTTACCTTATTAACTATAAGCAGGGTTTAAAATTCAACTACATTTTAAAGTTGTATGTAGGTTACATATAAAACGTTGTTAAACGTTAAATATCTAACGTTGGTTATAGGTTTTATTTTTAACGTTGCAAAACGTTTATTATTTTACGTTAGATCAAGGTTACCTTATCAACTATAAGCAACGTTCAAAACTCAACTAAATTTTAACGTTGTATGTAGGTTACATATAAAAACTTTGCCGGCTGGTATAGGCTTAGACTAATATTTTGAGAAAAAGCGGCGCGTGATAGTAAATTACGAGTATCACCCGTTAACGAGTGAGATTCGTCCAGTATAACCTGTTTATGCTTTAACCATAGCCCTCTCGCTAGTAGTAAGCTTAGACACATGGCTATGTGAAAGAAGATGATGTAAAGATCTAAATGTTAAATTAGCATTTGCAAATTAATAGTATTGAAATCTCGCACAGCAAGTTATTAAAAGAATGTAATGAGAGTCGAGCCGAATTTATTGTTCAGTAATACTAATCACATATATCGTACCCACGAGTTTTCAGTTTACGAACTACGCGCAAGTGTGAAGTGCAAGCGCGAAAGCTTTAGTGCAATTTAGCTACGAAAATACCAAAACCCTTAAAATGCGATGCATTCAGTATTTAGAATTAATATATTATAAATTTATAAGTTATGTCAATCCTCTTACCTGGGGACCCAAGCTATTATGTACATGTTCATAAACATTAAGATTTGGCGAATAAAGATTTGGCGGAATGACAGGCTGAGCGCGGCCCAGTAACAATCCTCGGGATCGGAATTATTTTGGATAAATACTTTACAGCTTTGAGCTTCGAGTAATCTATTTGACGATGTTTGTTGTAGCGCGATGCACTACTGGGCCGCGCCGCGCAGCCAATAATATAATGCTTCTTGCAACCACTGTACTTGTGCTTTACTAAACATACTTGGTCAGTACGTTACTGTATGTACGAACTTTTAAAAGGTGTCGAACTGTACAAATTTTAAAAAGCTGTCGAGGAATTTTTTAAAAAATTTTTGTTTTTTAATCAGTAATCACTTCAGTCCGAAAAATTTGTTATTTTTGTCCGGGAGGTTACATTTCAGATTTAAAATATTAACATGCATCCGCACGTCATCGTTTCCCGCCATTTTAACACAAATTTTTGCAATTAGCTTTTTATTATATATTTCGAAAATTTATAAGGCGAATTTTTCCCAAACTAATCCCGAACTGAAAAAACGTGCCGAATTGTA